CGCAGTGCGTCGTTAAGACGTAACCACCGCCGTTTCGCTAACTCGCGGTCAACGAAAGGGCCCGAAATCCTGTCGAGAACGAGGTTAGGCTTAACCAGTCGTAATCGTTACAAAAATGATCGAGTCTGTTTGTTCAGCCAGACTGCTTGCAGTTTGGAACAGGTGTCACATGGGGGTCATTGACAAATGGGAGCATGTTGTTTGATCCAAAAGGCTTTTGCTATGAGGTAGCCGGTGACAATCAACAAGTTTTCACATTCAGGGCGAATCCTTCATTTTTTCATCGGCCGCGTCTGTCACACAGAATTCAGATGGGCCGTTAATTTGAACTGCACATGCATTCAACTGAGCCCATAATGAAACTGGTATACGCAACGGAATCCTTCTGCCGCTGTCTCTATAAATGCTGCCTTTGCCTATGAGACATACAATAGCACTTGTCAAAGGCAACATTGTAATCCCAAGCAAGAAACTCGCCCTGCTCAATGTAACGTTTTGCGATGAATGTCAGCCAGCGAGCTCCCTGCCAGGGTTCAACTTTCTCGTACACAATCTGCAAGTTGGCCTGATCGAAGCATGCACGATTTACCTGCAACAAAAAAGGCTATGAGGAGTTCAACGAAATGAAGGATAGACAGCGACAAGTGCGTTTAAATCTCGATAAGATTCCCTAGGGGTACACTATACCGGATGAGACATGTCCGCCTCTCTCAGGCTACCGCATACTATGGCGTCTGTACTCGAAACCTTATTCGGTGAGAGGCAGCTGGAAAGATCTCTGTAATCAAGAGCCCTGGAGGGCAACGTCTCTATGACCTCGACAGCCCAAAGAGTGCAGAGCGTCAATTGTATGTCTGCACCAAGGTTTCGAGCCGCAAACAAAAGGACGATCTTAGATGTCAGTCCCAGTATCTGCTTGAAAAATACCCTGGACACGTCCTTGTCACGGACATCGACTCCGGGCTCAACTTCAAAGAGGAAGGGACTTTTATCCCTTTTGGAACAGAGCAAGAGAGGCACTGTACGCGAGGTTGTGGTTGCCTCGAAGGACCGCATGTGCCGATTCGGATTCGATCTGCTCGCATGGCACTTTCAAAGACACGGTGTCAACCTCGTGGTTCTCGACGAAGACGATAAGTCTCCAGAGGTAGAGCTTGCAGAGGACGTCCTTGCAGTCATTCAGGTGTTTGGTTCTAAATGGAACGGAAGGCGATGTTACATGGGAACCAAACGCTCAGAAGAAAAACTACTCAAACGGGGACAGGCCGATCAGATACAGGAAGATTCAACTCCTACCAAAGAAGTACCAGAAGAATTATGGACGATTGGAGGCACGCAGCACGGCTTCACTGAAGACAAACGTTACTCCTTTCACCACCCAAGACTCTACGGACGTGCTAACGCGAACAGTGCCTCCAGACTCGCATCCCCCTCCCATCCTTTGTCGATTCCCTTTTTGACAACGAGTGTACGTGCAAACAGGAGACAAATTATGAATCAGCATGTTGCCAAAAAATAGCTCATGATTAGTGTCGACGAGCCAACAATCCCGAGGTGTCGCCCACTGGGTGCAAATGCGTTGTTACACGTCGAACGATCTAGGTCGAGGTCGGCTATGGGCGCATGTAAGGACCCGAAGTTGCCATTTGTACGGCCGGGCTCGGCCTTCGGTCAATTGTCGTGGAGCGGGCTTCATGCATCGTCCCTTCGCGAGAACACCCAAGGCAAATCCTCGGTTTTCCAGAGCCTAGCGCAAGGAGAACCATGTGCGCGCATCTGCACCGCTTGGTGAGACACACACGTCAGCGCAAAGTGGACACGTGCGGGTGTTTGCTGGTCGAAGGTTTCATTTGGAAGGGTCGTTCTAAATAAAGTTCGGCGCACGAGGGGTGACGATACCATTTGCTAACACCCCGACCTTAGGCATTGTGTGGATGGGAATGGCACCAAGGCCTTAAGATTCGACAATAACCACAAATACTTAGGTACTTGAGTGTGTTGTAGTGACCCAGTCCCTAAGTGTGCCCGGGGCGCCCTTGTAAGTGACCGGGCGAAGTCTAGGTTTAAGGTCAAGATTCGATTCCAAATATTTTGACCCTAAGGTCGGCGGGACCCCCTAAGGTATATCTGTGGGCAGGGCCCCTCAAGTCCAATGCCCTTCTGTCGTATTGACATATCGGAACTTGACTTACGAAGCTTTCGATCAATATCGATGCCTTGGTGTTTTGAGAGGTTTTCCCGATACGGACCATGAGTGTGGGTTGTACAAAGACCTTCATCATGCATTTGCCGGTGCATCTGTAGACATTGCCCGGGAACTGGGTACCCGGGAAGGAACTTCTGCGCGCTGGGTACAGAGTTACTGCCCGGAGGAAGATTCCGAGCGCTTTCAGCTTCTGGCCATGATGAGTCTCCATGGAGACAAGCAGCAGTACTTCCGATCGCGCAAGGCGATTGAACACGGCAGAGTTAGCTGGAGAATGACCTCAGGAACTTGGAAAAGCTGGCCAAACGTACGTATGTGCTGGACTGACTGGCAATACTACTCTGCATGATGGGTCCTCCCGTGCGCGCCATCTCTGACCTACCGGACGTCTGCCAGCTGCGCATCCTCTCGCTGCTTGAGAAGTCAGAGCAACCCCTAAAATCCGCGACGTCTTTGAATAATGGGGGAAAGGGTCCAGCCGGGGAAGTTGACTCCGGTCCTGAGGCTTCATTTGTTCAAGAGGCAGGGACCAGCAAGAGTGTGTTTCAATGGAGTCATGAGGACTCTCCCCTGATGGACGCTGTGGATACACTTGCAAGAAGTGGATACGCACTAGTCCAAGGAGCGGTGACAAAGGAGCTGGTGAGCCACATCAACTCCCTGGTCCTCTATGCTGCAGAATTGGTGGAGCTTGATGTAAGAGCTCGACTCTTCCCGTTTTGTCCTGGGGTGGTGCGAAAGCAGGATGCAATGCTGCTTGCAAGCAGTCTGGCAAACTGAACAAGTGTCCTGCATTCACTTGATGTGCGTGAATCTGGTGGGAACCACTTCAATAAACGACGGCAAAGCGGGCCCTGTTTGCAGTGAACTATTGAGTGCAGCTGCAAATGCAAACCACACCGTAATGAACAGATATTCCCCTGCGCAGGTGACGGCTGCCCGTTCCTGTGCTGACTGTGCTCTAGAAGGAGAGATGACGGCTGCTAAAATGGGGGGCGGAGCCGAGACTCAGTGGATCGACCAACACTTTCGGGGGGACCGGCGTATGTGGCTCAAGCCGGCCCAAGTGTTGCAGCCTGGTTGGGAGAGCTTTCAAGCCCTGACACAGATGCTACTGCGCTTGAAGCAACCGTTGCAAGAAGCAGGCTATGATGTGTCAGGCCCCGTTTCCTTCCAGCTTGCCTGCTACCCGGTAGGTCAGACCACTAGATTCTTCTCTGCAGCAATTCACATATGCTGTTGACTTTCTGATCTATTGAAGTCTTGCAATCAGAAGGTGTGAGGAAATTTGCTGTCAAGCGTTGTCATTTTCTGATCCTGCCACTGTATCTTTTTATAGAAGGCTGAGATCAGTGTCGGCCGGCTTCCTTGCAAGTGTTTAGCTAAATACTGGAGAAGCCCTGGTTTGACTGGCTCAGCTTCGACTCACCACTTCTGACAACCTTGTCTTGTTCAAGCTGTCAAAGGTGTTCAGATGAAGATGCTAGGAGAGCTGTGACCTGGTACTTTGCATCTTAGCACGGATTTTGTGCCGCAGGGAGGGGGCGCCGGATACGTCCGCCACAGAGACCGCTCTCCCAGCAGCCCCCACCGCACCGTCACCGTGCTCTATTACCTCAACCCTGAATGGACCCCCAACGACGGAGGACAGCTGCGCCTCTTCCTGAAAGACGGGGCCAGCATCGACCTACCTCCCATGGGAGGCAACGTGGTGCTGTTCGAGAGCGGGATGGAGCATGAAGTACTGCCGGCGCATGCCAAGCGCTTCGCTGTCACAGCGTGGTTCTCGGAGGGGGCGAAGCAAGACGCATCAGAATCGGGTGGGGGTTGTTCTGGACAAGAGGCTCAAGCGGAGGGTTGCTCCAACACTGGCAGAACGGAACCTACGGTCCCAAGCAAGAGAGGCGACTGCCTCAACGGTTTGGGAAAAGGTTCCCGAGAGGCTGGCGACAACCCCGCGTTGGAAACCACCTCGCAGAAGACAAGCACTCATGCTGTCAACACCATCCACCCCTCTGCACCACACCCTCCTCTTACCGGCCCCTCCCACTCTCTTTCCCCTGCCCAGCGCATTTTCGTCTCACTCGTGTGCTACCGTGATTCGGAGTGCCGGTGGACTGTCAAGGACCTTTTCAGAAAAGCGGACCTGCCCGGTCGCGTCTGGGTAGGGATCGTGTGGCAGATCGACGAGCGGGACGACTGCGAGTTTGCGCACCTCAGGGGGCTGGACGAGGACGCCCGGAAGCGCGTGCGGGAGGTGCGGGTGGACTGGCGCGAGGCGACGGGGCCGTGCTGGGCGCGGCACCGGGCGCAGCAGCTGTGGGACGGGGAGGAGTTCTTCCTGCAGGTGAGGGGGTGTGGGAGAGTGACTCTGTCTGTAAGTATGGAGAAGGAGCTCCATCTGAGAGAGAAAATTCAATCTGTCCACAAGAACGAAGCCGTTCCAGATTCATGCTGGAATGGAGTCGAGCCGCGGGTTGCATTGGAGAAAAACGGGAAGCTCCTGTAGGTGAAAGTTGGATGAACGGGGCTTCTGACCGTCTAAGTGTCACTGGCAAGAACTTCTTATGACGAGCACACAGACTGCCGTCGTTGAGGTGGTTCCTAAACCACTTCGATATCGACTCGGATGCTCAATGCATGACCAGATTAAGGGTTCAGAGATTTGCCAGAGTCACCTAACGCACGCCGCACAGTCTGGTTACTCCTTGCTAGCTGAGAAAGCCATGACGCCCCGTTTCCCGACAGATCGACTCCCACATGCGCTTCGCCCCCCAGTGGGACACCAAGCTGCTAGCCGCCTTGGCAGCAGCCGAGACGCGGTCGCCGAAAGCGGTGCTGAGCTCGTACCCGCCCCCCTACGAAGGTCTCGGGGCGGCCGCTTCAATTCCCGAAGACTCGCGGCCCACATTTCTGTGCGCGAAAGAGTTCGGGCCTGACGGATTGCTGCGCATGACGGGGCGCCGGGCGGAATCCCGGGGCGGAGAGCCGGTGCGGAGCGCTTTCTGGGCGGCGGGCTTCTCTTTCTCGAGGTCGGCGGTAATCCAGGAGGTAAGAGGGGACTCGCTTCCTCCAGGAAATAGGCAGTGCTTTTTGTGAGGTCTGTGCTTCTAAGTCCTGCCACGGTTTTGGTGCATTTGGGGCCGCTTACGGTCCTTCAGCCTGAGCGAGCCTGTGCGTGGCTTGTGGATCCTCAATCAAGAGAGACCCATCGATTTGCAAGTTCTTGTTCAGTCTCAGGACAGCCGTCCTTGTCTCGAGGTCTACCTGTTGTTCTTCTCAATCAATGCCAGTCAAGGCCATCGATGATGCAGCTATCCTCATCCTGGTCTCCCCCCGGAATCTTGCCAGTACCCGGACTTAGCAAAGGTTTGCAATTTCGAAAGATATTGGGCAATACATGCAGTTTTCATTGAGGCCCGGCATCCGATTGGCTTTTGCTTTTGCTTCTCGGTTTGGGGTCACCCCGAACACGTCACACCACCCTAGCCGGCACTGCAAAGTGCAATGCCAGCAGATCCCCGTCGCGTCGCTCATTAGTCCCCTGTCCGACTGCAGGTCCCATATAGCCCGCATCTACCCGAGCTCTTCTTTGGGGAGGAGATGATCATGGCCGTCCGGTTGTTCACCCACGGCTGGGACGTGTACGCGCCGCCGGAAGCTCTAGTGTTTCACCAGTGGTCCAGGGAGCACAGGCCCTTCTTCCGGGAATCTCGGAAGCCCGATCTGAAAGCTCGCGCGGCGTCGGAACGGCAGGTGAAGAGCTTTCTGTGCACGGAGCGAAAGGAAGGGGGAGAGGTGTGTAGTCTGTGCGGCGCCCCTCCGGCTGACAGCTACAGTCGAGAGTACGGGTTGGGGGATGTAAGATGCGTACGAAGTTTCGCGGAAGCGTGCTCGGTAAACTTCTGCCGGAAGCGGATAGGAAGGGAGACGGAGGAGCAAGTCTTTTCAACAGAACGGACTATAAGGTAGCGTCCTTGTCAGTCAATAGAGCCGCGGAGGCGTTGTTCATTGTCTGATGATAGGTTGTGCGGACATTTGGCAGGGCATGCGGCAATTGCTTAAGTGGAAAATTCTGACACGGACCTGTGTATATTCAGCGAAGATTGAATGGAAAGATACGATCAGGCCCTAGCGGCCGAGTCACATGACTGACTGCATGGACTTGTTCGCCGCCAGCGTGCGACGTCGCCATTGCCAGGACGAAGACTGGTCTCAGTGCATGCCTTAGCATGCGATACTCCTATATGCCTCAATGGTTAAGTTGGCCGGTGAGGGGCCTTGATACATAATTGGACAAATCAGATCTTGGCCATGCCGGCTGCACATGCCAGCAGCTGCATATCAGGCCCTACAAATCATGTGCGCATAAGCTAATTGTCATAGCGCCGCCGTCGATCATGCACGTGAATGATGACAAATACTTTGCATATGTGAGTTATTGCAAGGCCGGCTGCGCTTAGTATACAATATTGATAAAACATGTAGCTTGCAGCACTCAGAGGCACGTGCCCGGCCGCCCAGTTCAGTTCAATACGCACCTGTCAGTAGTTGTGTACGTACAGAACGCATGTTAATTGTTGACGTACTGGTGATAGCTATACCGTGACTGTTCCGTGCACGCGCGTGGTCTTCCAACTTCCACGCGCACTGCAGGTCTGTCATGGGATTTACATCCGATGGTAACCTAATAGTAACCGTGGTAATCGCGAGCACCTATAAGCCCGTAGCCGTCATGTGGTTATAACCACCAGACGCGTACATGACACAGAGAATGCTGGCGACTTAGTGCAAGTGCCACGGGCGGACGCTGCCTCGGGGAATGACAGGTTAAAAACACTGTCTAAACTCGAAATCTTGAGTCTGAGTCCCGCTTTTCTTTCACGCGTGCGACAAACTGCTCAGAACAGCTTCAGATCCAGGTCCTGTTCATCATTGTTTGAGCGACTGACTCTATGGCTGGAAGCTTCTCGCCACTGGTTGAATGGGTGAGCGGTACCTCTCAGGCCTCGCAGGTCACGGCGAATCCCAGGTACTCGCGATATAACGAAGGAGCCAGCCACCTGAAAGAGGCGAAGACATAAGAGCAACAAGAATCAGTGCCCTCGCTGACTATTGAAGATCAGGAACATCGGCTTGTTTCCTTGGACGGCCAGAGGCGCTCTAGAACTCGTCGTTGCGATGAAAAGAATCCGTCCTGCCAAAACAAGCCTTGTGAAATCTGCTGATCCACAGCACGAAACGGCCGCACAAGCAGGAGATGCAAAACAAAAAGCAAACCGCATTGCGCTTAATGGCTTTGTAATGATGCCAATCGAGACTAAAGGTGCACTGAAAGCTGATTTCTTCGCAGATTTTGCACCATGCAGACGCAAGCTTATCGAAGGGAAAGGGCCGCTCACATGCGTTATTCCCAAGTTCGCTCGAAGAGTGCTGATCTGCTGTTGATGATGTGAGAGCGCTAGTGCCTTGCTGGTGGCGTCATTCAACCTGCCCCCAGCTTTCCCGCCACGATGCTTGCAAAGACGATGGCCCCGAACCACTTGTTCGACACAAACCTGCAAATAGAGTGGACCAATCATCCACCCGCTTCGCATGACCCCAGATGTTCGTGCTCTCCTGCGTTCAGTAAACGGACGTCCGCATGCAACAAGAACACAGTGCGGTATGGGGCGTCGGGCTACGTCACAGAATTTCGCGGATGACCAGCTTGGTCGCATCCATGCATGTGAAGGAGAGGGTGGGGCTCCGGAAACTTTGGTACCGTTGTGCATTCTCTTGGCCGCATCCTATGAGGTTCGGAACTAGGGACACGCCGCCCAGGAACGCAAAGAAACCCCCAGGACCAATGCAGATCTAGTTGAACATATTGGCGACCGGAGCAGTTTACCAGCGGTACAAAGTGACGTGATGGTACCGAAAAGCTTTGAAACCTCCAAAGACTCTTACAGAAACCTGAGAGAGTCCCGTCGCTTTCTCGAACGTCCCGACCCTTTTTCTGGGCTACAATCGGACCACCCAGTAACAAAACGAGATTCACCAAAAGGGACTCCGTCTGTGAAATGAACAGAAATAGCCAGCTCGCAAATCGAGGTGCGACAAAGATTGTCAAACTGACTAATTACTCTAAGATGCAGCAGACTTACTTCGCGCTGCAGTCCGCTCGGTCGTCCATCTTCAGGTTCGCTATCTGCCACGTCAGCTGCGCCCCGGCAACGGTCAGCCCGGCATAGAAGGGCCACTCCAAGCCCACCGCAGCCCCCGACGCCGCCAGCCCCGCCAACGTAGCGGCGCCAAATCCAGCGAGCCACTGCGGCGTGGCTGTCCCAAAGCGCAGGGCCGTGGACTTGACACCAACGAGCTTGTCGTCCTCTTTATCCTGCAACACATGTCACGTGAGTGTCAAACAACCGAGCACTGTTGTGAGATTCAAAAGGACTCCGGCTGACTGCTGTGCGAATGAAGGATACAGAAAAAAACAAGCTGGCGAGTATGACCAGCGTCTTTCCCCCGGGGTTTTGACACCGGCTTTTCGATACAAGGTACGAAACCCACCTGGTGAGCGTAGATGGTGTCGTACACCAGCGTCCAGCAGATGCCAGCAGCGTAGAGGGGCCCGACGGCGGGAAGGAAGAGACTGCCTTTCACGGCCGACCAACCGAGCAGCGCGCCCCAGTTGAATGTCAGCCCAAGGTAGGCTTGGGGCTGCAGGAGGAGGGGCCACGTGTCAGCGCTGAAAAGGGACCAGGGTTTTGGGGTGTTACCTCGAAGGGCTCGATCGTTTTGCGAACGATACTGAATTGGGAGGTCCTTTACCAGATCCCACACGGACACTGGTTTTCAGACGCTTTTCAGGCAGTAAAAACCCGTTCCTGATTTGGTCTGACCATGGGCAGCAAACGAATCTGCTTGTTGGGAAGCGAGTTCTCACGCAATACAGGAGCACACTCCCAAGCAGACAGTACCCGGATGAAGGCTGTGATTGCACAGCTACTCAAACCTGACAACAACCTCCAGGTATTTGATTTGACCTCAAGATTCTGGGCCTCACCCATGAGGTGATGCGCTTCATAAGGGGATAGGTGGCCACCAGGAAGAGCGAAGAGGCGCCCAGCACTTTGCTGAAGTCGTTCAGTTGGAGGAGCACGCCCAGGCCGACGGTCGACTGGGCCGCCAGGAAGAGGAAGGCCTTGCGGGGAGAGACGCGCTTGGACGCAATGGGACGGTCCTGGGTTCGAAAGACCTGTTCGGAGAAAGGCAGATCAGGATGTGATTACAGGTCTTGATGTCCATCCATAGCCCAAGCTCTACTCTTCCGGGACTATGGTCAAGCTTGTAAACTGCTAGTGACCAGAAATAGACGTATCCTGCACAGGGGGGATTGGTTGCTAAACTGGGCAGGTTGTACCCAGGTTATTGCATAGGTTGTGGTGTAACCCAGGTAGCAACCCAGGTAACCTCGGACCTGGGTTGAGTGGCGCTCTTGACCTAAGTAGGTTCTGCACAACCCATGCAGACCCGGGTTGCAAACAACTTCGAGCTAGTTTCTTGATAACTCATGTGCGCAAAGAGAGAAAAAGGAAACTTTGTGATGCTCTTTGGCCGTTATGGAACTTGAAATTTTTCTCAAGAGTGACACAATCTTGTAGCCAAGAGCGGACCAAAGCATGCCCAAGTCGCAAGAAAGTCAAAATCAAAAAGGAAAAGAGAAAACCGAGTGGGAAAGTGTTTGTTTTGGTGCTTTTCAAAGCCATTTTGGGACGAGAAAAAAAGAGCACCACTGTAAGCGCTTGGGCTCGAACCAACGTTCTGTAGCGTGCCTACCAGAATCAAGCGCCTTACCATTCTACTATTGCTCCTTTGGTCAGCAAACGTACTCCAAACAAAGTCTATACACCGTTACATTCCCAGGTTATGGATAAGCTACCCAGGTTGTGCGTAACCAAGGTGCGAATCTATGTAACCTGGGTGCTGCCCAGGTTGTTCACAACCTAGGCACCCCGGTTCGCGTAAACTATGCATAACTCAAAAGTTAGTACAGTAACCTAGGTGATGCCAAGGTTGTTAACAACCTAGGTCCCGTAACCTAGACATAACCTGGGTACCTAGGTTACGGGACCTAGGTTACTGACCAATCCTCCCTGTGCTGGTAGGACGATTCACAACAGTATGGCACTCCTTACGTTGACATCGTCCAGGTTTGACCTTTCATGCAGATTGGGTTTGTCTGCAGAAGAATTGGATAGCTTGCCCAATGCCTATACAGTGAGCTACTTAGGACAATAAAAGTTACCCCGCTTCGAACCAATCTTTCAGAGATTGCGGCTCAAGTCATCCCAAACCCCCACCTTAGAATCGATGTCCTGGTCCCACATGTCGTTGACCGTGCACCCCGCCCCCCTCATCACGATCGCCCCTGCTCCAAACCACGCCAATAGCACTGGGTCTGGGAGCGCGCCTGGGGGAGCCGCCAGCGCAATAGACCAAAAGCAAGGCCATGCGAGAAGCCATGTCCCAATCGGTTTGTCGTACCGCCCAAGCTGCACGTAAGGCCAGATGCGCGGAGGACAGATCCGCTGCAGCCAGTGAGAGACTGCGGTGGGGGGGCCATCGAGCACTCCGGACTTGAGCAGCGGGCGTTTGGGAGCTGTTCCTGACACTGGGGGGTCCTCGATGGGGGTGGTGGAAGAGTTTTGTGAAGCGGGGTGGGAAGGAGCAAGGGCAGCTATGGGACCAACTGATCCATTGGGGGGGGTTGGGAGGGGTTGCTGCAGCTTGGAGTGGGCGGTACTTGTGAGGGGGCCCCCGGCGCCACTGTACGACTTGTGACCATGCAGAGCAAATGAGTCATATCCCGGCAGCCAAGCGTGGTGGCTGTTGAACTGAAGCGCGCTGAATGGCAAAGCAATCTGCTGATTTCCACCGCGCGCTGCGCCTGCGGAGCATCTCCTGTGGTTCACCAAAGCCCATCCTGACAACCTGACCTGGCATTGATTGTTCTGAGATGTACCACCATCAATGCCTCCTGGTTCATCACAAGCTAGTGCCGAGCAGTCCGCCTGATGGCACTCCCATTCACTCCTCTTTTCATTTCTGCGCGGCGCCACCAAACACTGCGCCTCAGTTTGGTTTTCACAGAACGCTTGTTGCCTTGTACTGTCATCCGATAGCGCCCATTCTTGCAGGCGCTGAGTACACTCCAGCAGACGGCCCCTGCCCAAACGAGGCCCGTGCAGTCCAGGTGAGGCCTCCAGACGCTGCCTCAGCAGCAAGGCCACCTGGCGGAGCATCACTCCGTTGGCGCGCTTGGAACCTTCGCTCAAGCGCTTCCTGACGCTCACCTCCAACGTTTCCAAGCACCCTTCGATAGGTACCCTGTCTGAAATTGTAGGTACGCTGGTGACTACGGTACGTGGGACCGGTAGTCGCCTGTTCCCTCTTTTACCGAGCGCAAGGGCCTGCAGGGGCTCGACCGGAAAAGCCTTTTTCCCGGCGACAAACTATGTACGGCTCGGATGGTACTTTGTAAACAAAAAGGTATATAAACGTCAATTCCGCGTGCAAATGACGTTCCTCAACCTTTTGTGCTAGCTTTGCGGAGTGGTCAAACGCGGAGGACTTAAGACCCTCTCCCTTTGGGTTCGCAGGTTCGAGCCCTGCAGCTAGCAAAACTTTTACCTTTCGTAACTCCTGTTTGTATGGCTTTTTGTTTAGAGTCTACAGTCTACACCGTCTTCTCAACGGCCCTTCAAGTTCACGCCCTCTATAGTACTTCGCACAATATAGAGTCAGTACTCTACAAGCACGAGCGAGAAACTTGTGATCGGATCATCATTTCCACAAGTATCGTATTGAACGTCAACGCAGCCATCAAGCAGAAAAAAGACTCTTTCACCACTCTTTTACATTACGAATACAACGCCGGCTGCTGTTCACTGGGCGCTCACTGATGATAACAGAGCGGACGCGACGTATGGTGCAAGTACTGGCGGCCACCTTCTGCGAGCCACCTAGGAGCCACCTGCGCCAAGCTGCCAGTAGTGGTGGCAACAGTGGGGGTGCAATATGGCCGAACTTGGGAACCACTCCGGAACGGAAGTACTGTCTGCGCCGAGTCGTCCACAATCTGCTCATCGTGAATTCGTAACAAAGATCAGGAACATATTGCAAGATAAAAGTGGCGAATCGCAGAGGTTTTCATGAGAAGTGCTGATTTACTAATGCCAACGTATATGGCATATCATGAGAGGCGTTTATCAACAACCCATTCATCCTGTATTGACTCGTGAGAAGCTGGTCCCGTCGTTCAGTGATTACAACTAGTGGTCACCATCAATCGACCCCATTGAACAAACGACTTGCAACATGGGTGCGTTAATCTTCCGGTTCATCCACTTGCGGGAACGAATAAAGGCCAAAGATACTATGTTTCTAACGGCACTCGGCCTCGTCGCACGTGGTGATCAAGACTTGGCCCTTAGGCAGCTTCGCTTAGAATTGTCCTATATAAAGGATAAAAGAACGGGCTGAACACTTTCTATACACGTGGGTTCACTCCGTGAGTTAGATCTCGAGCTACAAAAACAGCTCTAGAAGACTTGTGTTACGACCGATGTCACAGCCCAGAGGGCACCGATACGAATCTTCCTCGTCGTCATCTTCAAATCGCTCTTCGTCTCTAGTCCGCCGCGCTAGAGGAGTCGTGAAGTAGGTCTCCAGGCACGGCTTACAGTACATGGCGTGGCCGCAGCTGAGAGCCGCCTGCCGCCTGTCGGGGCCCCACCTCCGGAAGCACATCTGACACTGACAATCGGACGCCGACGGTTCCTCCTGTGTGGACATTATTACAGGATGAGATAAGTTGAGAGAAAAGGTTTTGTGACTTCGACTAAACTTACACCGTGCTCAAAACCAAGAGCGCTCATTGGGCAGAAAAGGCAGAAGCTTCTGACACGGATCCTTCTCCGTATCCAGAAATGCATTATTCGCGAAGTGGCGGTAAACGGGGTTCAGCTCGCTCTCTCGAGCATAAGAATCAAAGAAGTCCTTTCTCTTGTATTCTACGAGCACAATCAGAGGTCCTTCTAACCCATAAACTACATGATCAGGCACATTGAACAGCTCATAGGGCACAAAGATTGTAGCATGTTGCAGAGGAGCACCTGAATTCCCTCTTGCGTGCGTTCCGCCACGTGTTGGATCTCTTCTATCTCCTTATCCAGGTTCTGCCGCTCAGCTTTGAGGACCTTCAAGTACTCCACCGCCTTGTCAGCCAGAGATGATTTCACACGCTTGCACGCCTGACGGTATTCTTTGGTCTCCTTTTTGAGTTTTCGTTCGTCCTCTCCGATCTCCCTGAACGAAGACAAACGAACTCGGATAAGGACCCTGACAATCTCAGGATTGAAGGATGTAATGGAATGTGATCTCGAGAAGCATTTTGTAAGTCTCGATCGAGTTCACTCTTCTTCCAGAGCCGCAGCAAGCCAGTAGATGAGTTCACTCTTCTTCCCATACAGATCAAAAAGGGAGTTAGTGATGAGGCTTGAGAGGCAGCTGCAGAGAAATCTTGTTCAACCAGATCAACGTGCAGTGCCTTGCAAGTCCATCAGTGAAAGCTAAACATGCCAACGCAGACAACGGCAAGCAGGCTGCACTCACCTCCGGAGGATATCCTTCCTGCTCTCACTGGTTTGCGCCCGCTCTCGAGAGTCTACAAAAGGGGCAGGCAACGACCAGAGACCGCGACAAGGTCTGCACATGGAGCACTGGTGTCATCAGATTCTGCTTTTCGGATAAGAGTCGGCCAGTGCCGACAGACGGTGCATGAACGGAGCCTTTGAAACCTCAATACCTAGGCCCCATTTGCAGTCAGGTGCAGTTTGCCAACTGAATGCTTGCCACGTAGCCATAGGAGAGGCCTGGGAGAGGATCTTGAGTTGAGGGGACCTATATTTCAGTCTGATTGAAACCCACATTAAAAATTCACGTCGAAACTAATGGAAATAATCCTTGGAATATTTTGTGAGTCAAGGAAAAAAAAGAGAGAGCGCATCAGCTTTTGGGAGACTGAAAGTTCAAGAAGTTAACATCTTCCATTCACTTGCAATTCAATCTTCTAATCATTCTGGTCTCCTAGTTTCAGCACATGCTGCTGGCTAGGAGGCTACCAGGATAGCAGGCTGCCAATTCAAGGATTGGGTTCACTTATAGCGTACCTTTGACGTGCCGGGACGCAGCGCAGGACTGAAGGCGAAACAACTTCGTCGATCTCCAGATCATAGCTGCCACCCCCTGACTCCATAATTCGTTGCAACCTGACACTTTTATCTCTTTGGGCTCCTTCGCATGAGGCAAAAGTTGCTTGCAATCCTTGCTGACAAACAATGGTACGTTCCAAGGTCGTACGCCTTGCTGTGCTTCCGATAAGCTTACCGATGAGGAGCGTTTGGAGTACTGCGCCCCCGTAAGTGAGGCTCGACTGCAGGCGGTCGCCTTTCGTTGGGTGAGCTTTGGAACCTCGTCCAGCGAGCAGCTGTTACAAGCGGTTCGCTTTTCATAAAGGACGGAGAATAAAGGAGAGGGGCACTCAGATTCTGATTCCTGATCAGTCAGCGGGAGCTTTTGAATCAGTGGTGACATCGCCCTCGCGCCGTGACAGGCCGGCGCTCGATCCCGGCACGCATGCAAGTTAGTCTTGCTGAAATTGACGTAAGATCATGGAGGAGGAAGCGCTAGTAGGAGCCGGTTGATCTACAGTCGTCACGTGCAAGGGCCGCTTCAATGAGCCGGCCTGACGCTGTTCGTCACTTCGGCTGGCATGTGGCGTCGTCCAAAATCCAGTGCCCGATTGCAATACCAGTGCTGATGCCTGCCAGACAGATAGTATTCTTCGTCATAATCAGTTCGTCAGGTGACGTTGTGAAAGATATGTAGCGCGTCCGGAGCAAAGGTGCGCACGCACGCCCATGCCCGAAACAGACTTCCTAACCCCTAATTTTGCACCTTGGCCATAGAAGGAAGGGTCTGCGCAGACATTACCAAATTTCGAAGCATGCGCAGGGCTCAACTTAGAATAGCAGAATTCCAGCCTCTGCAATATGAAGCAAATCTGCACACGAAGCAAGGTAGACAAAGGGAAAATTGCAGGCAAAGTTTGCTGGTAACTGTTACGTGTGCATCGATTAAATAGAGCTGGTGGCTCAGATCAATTCTGTGTGTAAGCTGGACTGCCAGATTGTTCGACGGTATGCCTTTTTGTCTATTGAGACAGAGACTTCTGTGTGTCCTAATAGGAGGGATGTAGTCAGCCACCCCACGTTGTCCTTTTTGTTTCATAAAAAGTGGCAGGTCTTGACCGGCTCTCTGAACGGAATTAACCGGGCCTTGGTCCCCTGCTGGCCGACTCGCTCCAGGTGTTGACATCTAGAGCTGTTGCGCAGCATCACCGCCAGAGGCGACATGTGTTCGCTCACGACCTGCGGGATGACCTAGAAAGGGGCTGATGGGGGCTTGGACAAGAACATATATAGTCTTTACAGAGGTTTGATGCACAAACGGAGGCACTTTTAGTTGAGCTGTGGCGGAGAGGTTTTGGGTTTCACTTGGGAACTAATATATAACGCCTCAGCACGAAGCGCCCTCAAAGGTCGAACAAGAAGGTTCACGACTTCAGGCAGATTCAGCTTCGCGCGCATCAACGGAGAAGGAACAAGAACTGAAAATCAGTAAAGGTGGTTTCTTGAAGTCAGAAATGGATTTATTTACGCTTCAAGTATCACTTGTTCTTTGCCGCAGGAGATGAGATGAAATATCCAGCTTGTGTAGAGGCCTGTCTGAAAGAGGGAAGCCTCGATCAGGAGGCGCTTCATCAAAGACAACGTTGCACGTTCATCGGCCGATTGACACATGGTTCTAGGCCTGTAGTATAAGTCTTCTGCAGAGAAAAGACGGAAAGAATCTGCGATTTCGGTTTCGGTTTGAAATCTGCAACTGGGCTGCAAACCAGCCGGCTCTAAGCAGATATGGTACTGGCATGATGTGGGCCCAATGCTTCCACCATCATACTCACTGGAAAAATAGGAACGTCGAGCTGAATTTTTGCCGTCTTGCACACGTCCTCCGAGCGGAGCCTCCTGTTATTGCCCGCCGGGGGCGCAAACCCGCTTGCGGTGAGCGAAATTACAGTCCTCGTCGTCTTCTAAAGGTCTGCAAGTGAGATAGTCTGAACAACATAAGCTTTTGGTCCCACTCGCGGTAACCGTAATGCCGAAACATCTGCAAGCTTGATGTACTATGAACAGTGATGTAGACTAAGAGTACAGACATTACGTATATGTACCCTCATTGCAGTACTTGGCAGCAAAGTTCCGGCAGCCCTTCAATACGGTACTGGGGCCCACCTCCATGAAGATGATTGCTTGCAGCATCGTCCTACTTGTCGTAGAGTCGTGGTACTGCGGAACTTCCGCCTGAGCAGCTGACTCTGACGATCAATCGAGCTCCGCTAGCTACAGTAGCTAGCTATGATAACTAGAGCGCGCGGCGCGCGCCGCGCGGCTTCGGGAGGGCCGCAGCCGGCGCGGCGCGAGGTTCCGGCATGGTTTGGGAAATTGAACCCTGCGCCGGACTGAACCCTAATTTGACTTGCAGCTAGCAGAATTTTGACTGCAGCAGAGAGCCAAATTTTGCCCCTGCAATCACCTGCAATGCATGATCCGAATATCAATCAATGCTGCATGTAGCAGATGGCGTCTTCGTCAAATTTCTGGCGCAGCCCCTGTGCAGCCAGACTTCTCTATGTCTCCAGCAACAAGTCTGACTCCGGGGGCCGGGCGCTCTTGACGTGCTGGTCTGATAGATTCCTTGGTTCATCTCCCCCACCTCTTGTATCAAACGTGCCCTTAGCTCCTGTCATCTGATCACTTCTTCTAGCGCCAATGCTGTGGACGAGACTGGCAGTACTGGAGCCCTGACCTTTCGTCAGTTTCACAGATTCATCCCATCATGAGCCCTCATGAATTCGAGCAAGGCGGCGCGCCCAAGCCCCTCCTGAAGCTGGAAGAACTAGCATGGGACACCACCTTTGTGCGAGAGCTCCCTGGGGACGAGCAGCGGGACGGGGGCTCACGACAAGTGCACCATGCGTTCTTCAGCTACGTGGCCCCATCAGTCAAGATCAGCAAGCCCCACATGATTGCCTACTCAGCGGATGTTGCTGAGAACATCCTGGGGCTGGACCCTGCGGAGTGAGCTGCAATGCCGTAACTTGATGAAGTCTAAGATGGTCTCCCTTGAAGGTCTCGGACTTTTGAGGGACAGTTCTTGTATATGGCAAGTGGTTGAAGTTGTCCAGCAGTAAAGCTCCCTTGTTATGGTTGAGTATCAGGTTCGATGACTGGTGCTCTAAACGAGCCCCTTCCACACTTGCTTTTTCCAACAGCGAACATATCTCTGATGACGCACTTCTTGAGGCGTTTGCATCAGGATGAATAACTTCTGCTCCATGGTGTAGGCTGGAGCGGGTGGATGCCCCCTATATCTTTGTGGGAGCAGAGCGGCTAGACGGCTGGTGAGATCTCGGACTTTCAGGATATCTCTTTTGAACCTCCGGACTCCACCACCTTCTGAGGGTTGTGCCAGTCCCATTGAGTTGCAAATACAAGTTGGTGTGTGGTGTAGAGAAACTGTCTGATGCAGTGTACAAGGAGTGGTGTGATGAAATCAAGAATATAAGAACCTCCAAAAGGAATGGGTATGACGGTCTTGCTTCTCACATTCGTAATAAATACGTAGGTTAGAAAGGAAGATGGTTCCATAGTTGTTTGTAGGGGCTACCCAGCATGAAGATTGCAAACAAATGTAAGCCGCAGAAAGTCCCTCCCAGCCGTTCATTGAAGGCTCCATGGAGGTCAAGGGCATCTTAGTCATTGGCGTCTCCGCTAAAATCGATATGTCACACAGCCAGCATATGAAGACAAGCGGAGGTCTTTGACGCTTGATGCCCTCCCAACTCTTGCTGAAAGCAGGGATCACTCGTGTCTCCAATACTTTGCATCCCTCCACCCTATCAAACGTCACCACGCCCTTTACGGCTCTTCCTCAGGACCACATACGCCCAGAATTACGGCGGCCACCAGTTTGGCACGTGGGCGGGCCAACTAGGCGATGGGCGCGCAGTCACGCTCGGCGAAGTTCTGACCCCCCAGGGGGAGCGCTGGGAGCTACAGCTCAAGGGCGCGGGGAGGACCCCTTACAGCCGGTCAGCTGACGGGCAAGCGGTTCTTCGGAGCTCCCTGCGCGAGTTTCTGTGCAGCGAGGCCATGCACGGGCTCGGGGTGCCGACCACTCGCGCGTTGACGCTTGTCGGCACGGGGACGGGGGTGCACAGAGACATGTTCTACGACGGGCACCCGAACCTGGAGCCGGGCGCGGTGGTCTGCCGCATGGCGCCGTCGTTTGTGCGGTTTGGAACGTTTCAGTTACCGGCGGAAAGGGGGGGCAAAGAGACGAAGTTGGTGAAATTTCTCGCGGATTACATGATCGAGCATCACTTTCCGAAGCTGAAAACCGGGCTGGAGAATAGGAGGGGGCAAGTCGCGGAAGCTGAAATGAGTGGAATTGACGGGGAGGAGGGAGTTTCGGGGAAGTATAATGAGTACGCGGCGCTTTTTAAGGAGGTAGCAGAGCGGACGGGAAGACTCGTGGCATATTGGCAAGCGGTGAGTCTTTCTACTCCACATCTCGGTCGCAAGAATAGACCTCTCTTCTGCATCGCGGGTGCACACTGGAAAATCCGAATTTCTTTTTCGGTCTTCAATATACCAACAAAAACAGCAGCAGCCCTGTGGCCCGAAGCTTTTCCTACTGAAAACTCCCTGCTTTACTGACAATCTCGACATCCGTGATCCCTCCCCTCTTCATCCTCAAGACTATCGCTTTGTCGCTCAGACCATTTTACCTTTCTCCGTGATTGCACCGACCGCTTTCCCCGCAGGTCGGCTTCGTCCACGGCGTTCTGAACACGGACAACATGAGCATCCTGGGCCTGACGCTCGACTACGGCCCCTTTGCGTTTCTCGACGCGTACAGCGACCAGTTCACGCCCAACACGAGCGACCCCACGGGGCGGTACGCGTTTGGCATCCAGCCAGACGTCGTGCTCTGGAACATGGTGCAGGTGAGGAAAGCAGGAATCGTGAGACGCAAGGATGGACAAGAACCGGACTCTTGTTGGAAGGCTGATCAGGACTTCTTGAAGGGCTAAGGACTCAGGTCGCGTGTGGTTGTACGTGAGGTTGAACTGTTCACAAAAGGAGCATCGACTTTTTTGTTCTTAGGAGAAGGTTTGACTGTTCGGATTGGAGCTTGCTTGGACCTCGGCGATCTGCATTCAAGTGTTGCAGCCGTTTCCCATTGATTGCTGGCCGGGAGAAGCTTGGCCACCTTTGATTAGACCATCAGATTGGGGCGGCGAATACAAGGCTCCTGCATCGTGCCGACGCCGTTACACCGCACGAAGCTTTTGAACATCACGTCTGATGGGTCCAGGATGAAGAGAGACTCTGCACCATCCTGACAGTCTCGTCAGACCGTCCGTCGGGCGATTATTTTGATCTCGTCGTCGTCGGCTCAAAGGATTGTGTCTTTTGGAAACAATGATGAAGTCGGCCACGTGGCGCCGCACGAGGCATTGTCTGACTTTGAAAGCCTGCAATAGTTTGCCCACATGCAATCTCCTTCGCTGCGCTAACCAGTCACCTTTTAACAGCTGGCGAACGCGTTCTTTGCGGGGGGCCTCCTGACGGCGGCCGAGGCGCGGGCCCTTATGGCGGTCTTCCCTCAAACCTTCGGCGTCGAGTATTCACACCGCATGGCGGCCAAACTAGGGATGGCGACTTTCGACGGGGACTTCACGACCGCGCTTCTGGCGCTCATGAAGCGAGACAAAGTGGACTTTACGAATCTGTTCCGGGCGCTCAGCGGAGTGACGACGGAAGGGCCGGGTGAAGAGGGAACGGAAGAAGGGCTGCTGCGGTCGGTCGAGGGAGTGCTTCCCGAGGGGAGTGTGAAGGGGGACTGGGCGCAGTGGATGCGGATTTACATCGTCAAGGTGGGCAAGCGTCTGAATAGCTGCGTCTGTAGGCCTAAGAAGGCCCGGCTTCATTTCTAAGAAATTATTGCATCTCGCCTGTCTGCGCCAGACTGTCGCGCGCTAATGTGCTGAGCCCGTCAGGAACTCATAGGCGAGCATGGTAGAATCCATGCACCTACTTCCGACTTCGCTTCCGCAGGGAAGGTGCTGTGTGTCCCGCTCCACTTCTCAGGAACAAGATAAAAAGGCCGTCGGGGTCCGTGGGTTGCGAAGCTGACTGTTCGCAGGATGGCCGTGTATCCTGAACCGGCGCCGCGGGTCTTTCGAAGACCGAAAACGTCTCGATTGTGGCAGCAGATGTTAAGATGCACTTTCAGAACACGCTGATCTGTTGTTCCAAGGTTGTCATAGCTTCAACAGCAGGAGAGGCTGAAAGTCTGGCCTTGCTCTTGTTCGAATCCCCACGCCCTTTTCTTACGCGCAAACACCCCTGTGCAGCTAAAAAAGCAAGGGACGCCCGACGCTGAGCGCAAGGCGGCCATAGACCGCGTCAACCCGCGGTACGTACTCCGCAACTACATGCTGCAGAACGCGATCGATGCGGCCGAGAAGGGCGACTTCGGCGAGGTGCGGACGCTGCTGCGCCTCGTGCGGACGCCGTACGAAGACCAGCCGGGAATGGAGAGGTGGGAACAGTGCAAAGTGCTTAAATGAAAAAGCATGCAATCAGTTTTAGTTTCTGACATTCGATACCGAGGACCGTCGGGGATGCAGAGCTGGGGGCAGCTTGAACTTTTCTGGAAAGACAGACGAGTCCGTTCTTCGTTAAGTTTGTGAAGTACATTGTTCTTGTCGGCGCATGCACTGCGGCGGTAAAGAGCCTGAGGCGCTGGCCGCAGGCAACCAGCTGCGATGCGCACGAGATGGACCGATGTCGTTGTTTGGCTGGCAACTTGCACCTTCGTAGTGAGCCAAGTCGTCCGTACCTTTACCGAGATCAGCCTGTCACTTCTGTGCTCGCAGGTATGCTGCCCTCCCCCCGACTTGGGCGACGAAGCGGGGCGTATGCCAGCTGTCGTGCTCATCATGAATGTCCTGCCTTTCGCCGAACTCTGGAAGCTTATCGCCAATGAAGAGTTGTCAAAGGGTTGTCAACGATTGACAAATCAGATGACAAGTCGCATGAGCATCAATGGGCTGCTCTATTTTGAAGAGCGGGCAGGTGCGGTGCAACTTGTTTTGTACACGGCATGACGTCGAATTTGGAAATGAGCTGTGTACTGATTACATGATAGTGATGTACATATCATGCCTGACATTGCTGCAAGCCCTTCAAATATCTGATAATTGACAACCGTGACCTGTGCGCCTTCTCCGTTCTCCAAGCCGGAGGAATATACACGTTATGCCTAAGGCTACGCTGCAGCATCAGTGCACTCGAGCACCAGGCTCCATTTGAATTCTGAAGTACGTGACGTGGCTGAAATTTTCCTTTTCATTGACGTTGTCAAAATTTATGGTTTGATTACGCTGCAGGAGTATCCCCCTAGTTTATTGCCGCGAAACCCTGTTACAAACTTTCAGACCAATTGCATCCTCACCAGCATCTGAGCCACACGATGTCTCATGCCATGTCATCAGATTGGCGAATGTAGCTCAGTGCTCGTTGGTCGGACTTTACAAGCTGATTGCTGGCTTTTGGTACGCCGTTAGTCCGACTCGCTTATCACGTTGATCGCGTTAGTCCGACTTCTGAAAGTTCAGATCCGATGCATCATAGCGCAGAATTCGACCCCGATTGACCCGATTTGCACCTCTGCACCAGCCCGCCCTCCATGTCACATTGCTCATTAGCTCGCCCTTACTTTTCATGGGGCGACCTGGAGCGATCATCCAGATGTGGGGTCCGTGAGGCATCTTATTTCACTGTACGACATTGGGCCCCCTCTTCCGACAAGTGGTCATACTCGCCGCGGTTGCAAGATTACATTATACTGTATTTTTCCTAAAAGTGTTCTACGAAATTGCGAATGATGGCGGCCGGCTGTAGTTAGGCAAGCAAGTGGGGGAGCCCTTCCACTCACCGTCATTCACGCTCTCTAAGGTTTGTAATGCTCTCTACAAGGACGCGAGCTGCTAAATCCGCCAAGGGTGGATTGTGTCGTCCGTCTGAAATTACCCAGACGCTTACATATTCGTTCGGGCGGTCATATCGCGGCCGTGTTCGATGTGATGCAGCGAATACGCGTCACTCCGCGGGGCAGTGCGACAACAATTCTCATTCTGGTATGCCATGTTTCTTGAGTTGCTACTGAACGTTTTATCGTCAAACCAGGGACAGACGCGGTACCAAAAGCACCAGACAAGTCAAGTGACACACATAGCCGCTCAACACGTCGTACAGTCTGGAAAATGCGGCAAAACTAAAACTTGCGTTTTTCCTGCGTAAAACTTTAGAGGTAAGCCACATCGGCCAGTCAAAATTCAAAAGGTGCTATAGTGCAGCGTAGGTATCGTGACGGTGTAGCTCAGTTTGTGCTGCTGCTGCTGCCAATCAGCCAATCAGCCAATCAGCCAATCAGCCAATCAGCCAATCAACAGGGAATGACATATATATAGAACTTGACCTTCCACTATTCCACGTACCGCGATCTCGATCACAAGGCCGGGGCCGTCGGGGGTACGGTCGGCGAGTCGGCGACGCCAATATGCTATTTCCAAGCTGTGTGCAACATGTACCGTCCGATATGCAACATCCGACGGTCAGCTGGGGGTTGTTGGATGGCAAAACCAAAATCCGATCCAAAATTTGTAAGGCTGCACTCGGACCGTCCGATCAAAGATCGCAACAAATCGCACGGAAAGCTTTCCAATGTGCGTGTCATCATGCTGCCGCCGACTCCGGGCGTCCCGACTCCCAACTCCCCGCCGCCCGGCCCGGCCGGGTATATAGCGAGCGCCGATAACTTACAAGTGGCAGCACCAGCAATCCGGCGTACGGTACGACGGCCGACCGAATGCGCTCAATAAATGCAAGATTTTGTCGGGCATGCTTTGGTACCGCTTTGGTGACGTCAGGGGGACCGACCCGATTCCGCGCGCAATCCCTCGCTTTTGTATCCTGGCCGGGAGTCCTGACCAGTCGGTCAAGATCATGGATGCCGGGCAGTTTTAAATTCCGTAGTCTGTATAGGAAGTAGTGCTACCAGCTACTTTGACACCGATTGCTCTTGACAACTCTGCACAAGCCTAGTGATCCTGCCACGATCCTCCATGGCCAGCAATCTGCTTTTGAAGAACTGGAAGAAGGCATTCCCCTTTCTATAAGGCGCATCAACAGGCTGCGAAAGGCTCCGGTGCCACTCTCCGGTGTTTGACAGTCCAGTAGTCTTTTTGTCCACAGACACTGCAGCTTGCCCTCCACTCCTTTGACATTTTTTGTCACAGGCGATGCACTAAAGGCAAGGGAAAATGGCGATACCCGGGCTCTTGGCAACTTCCAACGCATCGGTTGTGTCGATCATCTATGTGACGACCGGCATTCTGCTGACCTACGCCTTGTCATCACTGGTCCGCGCGATTGCTGTTGGGCACGGCAACTTCACCTTGAAGCTGTTGGCTGAAGGCTTGTCCAGCACCAGCCTACTTAAATATGCAAGGTATGTGGCTCACAACAAGGGCAAACAATTGGGGAAAGCGGCTCTGATTCTTGCCCTAGCGGCATCTGTGGCGTTCGCTTCCGTTATCAGCCCTGTCTTCTGGAAGTGACACACACTTTTACGACGGCGGAATACGAGATTGTGCGGAAAGGAATACAAAGGTATTTCCACCAGTTTGAAGGACAGTCCTGGGCCACCAGCCCTGTCGTGATGGTGAGAGACAACGACATAGTATATTATCGAGAGGCTATCAACCCGACTTCAATGGAGGAGTTCTTTCAGCCTCTGATTAATTTCGCCTTGTACGATTTCAAGAATGGCGAGCGTTATATTCCAGAGCAGGAGGCCTTCTGCAGAAACGATGGGCAGTTTGATGAAGGAGTGTATACTTCGGGTGAGATAGGCGCGGAATCTGACGCAGCCGCCATGCTTCGTAGAGATGCTCGCAAAATATGGAAAGCAGGTAAAGAGGTGGATGAACCTGTATATTCGAAAGATGGGTTAAGTTTGGGGTTTCATTCGCTGAGTGTGATGGTTTACGTGGTGAAAAACACAGACCCCTCTGCCAATGACTACCTTTCCACTGCATATAACCTCCTAAAAGAGACTTCATACCAAACGGGCATCCTCCTGTCAACAATCAAAAGTTGGAATAGAGCTGATGTACAGTTGGGCAATGTAAGCATGGTTGAAGTGTTGTCCCAGCTGAAGAAAGTTCCAAAGAAAACCCTCTGGCAATTTCTGGGTTCTGATACGACTATGGGGGCAAAAGCGAGAGTCATGCTACTTTGCCACTCGCTTCCAAATGCTCAGAACTATGGGGCAGAGGATGACAAAATCTCGTGCTACGTGCAAAGGACCTATGCTTGCATAAGAGGCAGATTCCCGGTTGACAACGTGATAACTCCGTTGGCGCGAAGGACATATGACTTCAGGCCTTCGTTGGACCGCCCCATGGACCTGAAGTTGATTACAGGAGCTGGAGATCGTGACCTGTTTAAAATGCTCACAACTGTGGACAAACCGGACTCGCAATTCAGGCGAATAAAGGTTACTCTCTACTACGATGTGAGTATTGTGGCTCTGATCACGGCGGCAATGTCGCTTGTAGTGATAGCAATTTCGAAGATTTTTCTTCACTACAGAAGGGTACCGCACTTCATAGATTCTTCCTGGAAGGTACTGGTAGCTGTCAACGATGGTCTGCACTGTAACATGGTAGAAGATCCTTCAGGTGATCTTTATCTACTTGATGATAACGAGTCGCATCTCTCAATCATGCCTAAGAATGAAGGGGTGAGCAACGAAGTGGTTGTCACGTCGTGGAACAAGAAGTTTGAGGCTTACAAGGGAAAGGGCCAAGTGTGACAGGAACGTTGTCATATAGGACTGTGCAATAACAATACTCCCCAGAAACACTTTGTGATGGGCAGACAAGCGGCTTCAAAGTGGCCGATCTAAGACACGCTAAGGTAATTATATTGTTTTTGGAAGGCCTCTAGATATAATGGTTTTGAAAGGCACTATCATATATAGTAATACTCGTTCAATTGAAGTTTTTGCGCTTGACTCAGCCGTCACTTTAAACATGGCAGAGAAACATACATACATATGGTACTCTGTTCAAGGAGTGTTCGAGATGCCACTGACTGGCTGATTTTGATTCAATCAGATCGTCTTGGATCGCTTATTGTGCGTTCAACAAGCTCTGCAGACTGGCGCCCTGCGCTCGCATCAAGATTCTTGGCTGTAGGATCTTTAAAAGAACCGACATGTTAAGCTGCACAAATGTTTGAGATCGTTGATTGAATTGTAAGGCTGAGCTCAATGTGGTATACGGAGTGGCACCTTAGAATACGGAAAAGTGTCTCTTATACCAAGACTCCGTTAAGCCCATGCACCGGCGAGCTTACTACACCCAAGCAAGCTGGCGTCACTATACCTTGGCTCAAGTCACCATAGCTTGCAGACCATCGTCGAATTTGGGCGGCCTCCGATCGATTACTGTCATTCTTAGAATCGGAGTCGCTCCCATTGCCGCTAGAACATGGCCCCGCGGCCGGCGTTTTAGATGCATGATGAAAACATGCGGAGGCTGCGGTTTAAGTTATGCAATTAATGCCATGCGTACACCTATATAGGTGTACCACATATAGTTTAGACAGCTAAATGTTAGCTAGTAAGTATGTAGTGGATGGCCATGCAACATAAGCAATCCAAGCAATGTGCATGCATGTACGAATTGAAGGAGATTCTCATGACCTTTGACTTGGTGGCTGAGTGTGCCGCCATCTACCGTTTCGGACAGGTCCGGCTGCATAGTAGCCTTATCGTAACAGGTCTTTCCGCTATGCCCATGCCGCCAAGCTTCACCAATGAGGCCAGTAAAATTTCGATCCTCGTTGCATGGAGCAGCAAGTTAAAGCGGACCCTCGACTCATGAATGTATAATCAGGGTTTCTGATCTTCTCCCCAGAGCTCACGCGTAAGTTGCATCAGCACTATAATTACCTTCGCATGTATCTACCTTTGTACTACAGCGAGCAACCACCAGATTTGCACCTTGCCATAGACGTACATCGCACACTCCATTCTCAACCTCCGGCCAAATCTATCCACCTCTTCCCTGATGACTGTGACCCCCCTTGCAAATGCTTTTCTCATGGCATCTCAACAACTTCCGACACACCCGACATCTGACGCGACTGCACGACCCGCACGGCCCGACTTATGGCACCGCACTACAGCGCTGAGCGCGCACGAGCCGCCTGGCTTCATCGCTCATTCTTCTGGAGCCACGTATCGATGTCCTCCTGGTCGCGCGCAAGCCACTGCGCCTTAGACCGGATCGCCTCCAGGCTGCGCGCAACCTCCATCTTGGCCTCGGGCACCGGGTGGGTGCGGTAAAACTCCTCGGCGTCGCGCGCCTTCTCCTCAGAAGCAAACCCGCGGATCGGGATAGACGCGACATACTGCACGGACACAGAGAGGCTCTTGGGTTCAGGAATTGGATTCAAGAGTTCAAAAAACATTCCTGAGCGTTGCCTCGAGCGGTTGGAAAGAGGGCTGAAACCAGAAGTGGAGGCCTTTGCAGTCTAGCAACTGCGGCGGCAGAGTCGTCCTCAACACCTTATGCAGTGAGGGAACATCTTCGTATGGAGCACTGTTCACGAGATCACACCCTCCCTTTTCCCAGCGGCACGTCGACGGTGGCAGTGGAACAAGACGACATCCAAATGGGACCAGCCGCAGAGCTGCAGTGCCGGGTAGCAGTCGGAACGATTGGAAGAGCCCTAACGAGCAGACGGTATGGACAGTTGCTGAGCATTTCGGTGCGGCGCTGACCTGGAGCATGCCCTTCTTGAAGCGCGGGTAGAAGACGTCGTCCCAGTGCGCCTTGACGAACTCCCATGCGGCGTCGCGCGCGTACCTGTTGGCTGACAGCCCGCCCAGCATGTACCTGTGATGCGCAAACAGCGCAGCCCAGCCGTCAGCTCATTTCGCACACGGTCCCTTGCCACGTGTCACTTTTTGAGGTTCAGAGCTTACAGCAAATAAAAGGACATTTTGGACCCTTGCCAGAGACACTTCTTCAGATTCGGGGCTTTAAGCAATAAACAAGACAATCTCAATGGCAGGACCGCCCACCAAAAGCTTCCCATCTGATATCTGTTCTCCTGAACGAAGTTGTGCGGGTGGACGAGGAAGGATGCGAAAGCAATCCCAGAGGCGGAGGGTGTTTACGGGCGAAGCCGAAAGATAACAAGATAAAGCCGTTCGGCTTGCGGGCACTTACAGGACGTCCTGCGATCGGACTTGCTCCGTGTCGATGCCGAAGTTGAGGAAGTCCTGAATGAGCTCCGGGTCCTTGGTCTGGCCCAGCGCTGCAGCGAAACAATTACGAGCGTCAGAAAGTGATGCAGAGCGCAAACCCGATTTGACTTCCAACCAGCGTACATCCACCTGGCTTCCACGCAAAAGTCGTAAGCAACAAGAAGAAGAAAAACTGACGGGTTCGGCACGAAAGGGTACCTTTCACCCTGGAAGCGTTCCTCTGCCCTATTGTAAAGCGGAGTCTTGTGCGAAATTCAGAATTCCCTTCCGGCGATTTTGGGAGGCAAGCAAGGACAGATCATATGATGTGGCCCCACGATGTGGCCATCCCAGGAACAAACACAGCCGCGGCCTTTGTCGACGACCGTGGACTGCAGCGTCGAAATGAGATCAGATGGCAAGCGGTCCGTCACCAAGCTTTCAACGCCCTGAAGTAACCTGCCCCCGTCAGCCCTCTCCTCAAGTGTCACAAACTCAATCTAAAGCACAGATGGACGTCTCCGGTGCTTGTTCAAAGCACTGGAAACCTTCTACATTTCCGAGGCTACAAGAAAAGACGGGGCAGAGAACTGTTTCGCGGCCCATACGAGATGCCGAGAAACAGACCAGAAAAAGCTAGGCAACGGAGCGGAACATAGGGGAAGCAACGCCGTGAGCGTGCGGCGGGCTGACCGGTGAGGTACTTGATCTTCTGCTCCGCAGAATCCGACTTGCGGTACAGCTCCTTGACCGCCTCGTACTCGGCGCGGCCGCCTTCTGACACCGCCGTGCTCACTACCACGCCGCGCAAGTCGGGGTGCACCGACCTGCCGCACAAACACGAGTTGAAGTGTTTTCTCCACAGAAAGACTTACGAGCTCCGGTCGAAAAAGAAATGCAGTTCAGTACGTGCAACACAAGTGATATGGTCGGGATATGCGTAATCGTTGTTGGTGCCGTGCATCAAAGGCGGTCGACACAGAAAGTGAACGCACGTGCCACCTTTGTGATGACGTAACAAGCAAGGAAATCAAGGAGGCCTGGCAGGATTGAAGGCCCGACTTCTGAGGGTCGAAAGCAAAAGGTTGTCTTAGCTTGATCCGCGGCGCAACATTCGGGCGCTGCTTTGCCCGGTGCCTACACCCCTTGCGCCGAAGAGAAGAGCTTGAAATTACCAACGCAGACATGGCGACCATTCTGAGGACATGCACTCACGTGGGGTCGCCCTGCAGGAGGCCGAAGAGCTGGCGGCTCTTGGCGATTGTGGCCTCGTCCTTGTATTTGGCCAGCTTGCTCAGCACCAGCGGCCGCAGCAGCCCGATCAGGTGCGTCTCGCCCTGCAACAACAAAGACAGCAAGGTAAGTGAGCTCGCATTGGCGCTCGAGAAAGGCGCAGGATTATCAAGGGGAAATTGGGACATCAGCGGAGCGCGTAGAGACCTTGAAGGGGACTCGAGGTGGCAGTGCCGAGTTGACTACAGAAACAAAATAGATGCTCAGAAGGACGGGTGAAAGTTGGCCCCACTGTGACGCTCGGCCTTCTCTCGGCTGCTCCTACGAGCTAGGCATTGCCGCTGGGAGTTGACGTCCTCGAAAGGTGCGCGTCGATTATAACCAACTCCAAGATCACTCCCGTTTCTCGCCATTCAAACACATCTTGCGCCTCCAATGTTCACTCCCACGATCTTTTCACCTGGCATCTCCACCAGGTTGCCATCTCATTCCCACCAGCCCATCCCTCACACGAACCAAATGCAATAGTGCCTCAAATCCGGTGCTGCCTGACTACACCCGAGAGCCCTCGCAAACAGAGCAGAACCGAGCGGTCTGGACAAGGGCGGCAGGTTGCGCACCGGTTGCGCGTCCCAGCCGATCTGTTGCCCAATGGTGCTGTACAGCTGGCGGCCCACGCGCTGTACGGCGGGGTAAAACGACGTCGTCGACAAGATGGAGTCCAGCTCGCCGAAGTCGCCGCTCAGCTGGTTCCACACCGTGTAGCTGCAGGGGGAAGAGGAAGGAAGGTTCCTGGGAGGCGTAACCTGCCATTGCATGCGAGTACGCATGTCGCAGCTCAACCGCAAAAAATACCGTTTAGCTGCCACGAAAGGGCAATGAAAGGTAATGTGCCGGTGCAACTTAAGAGCACAAGCGAAGAGGGCACCAATGACAAGGGAATCTTCAAAGAGTCAGTGTTAGAGTGGCTAATAAAAGGGAGGCGAGCCAGGGCACTCCTACAGCACTCCTTCGAGAGTGCCCTTTCTAAGCACTACCGATTGCATTGGGCAGAGTAGCAGCTACCGAGAGCAAAAGGGAAACGCTAACTGAAAGAGCGAAGCAACGACAAGCTGAACCTCAAGTCAGCAGCCAAAGGCATATCGGCAATAAGGGCTCCAGGAAGTTTTATGAGAACGGGCGCTCACTCGGTTTCGTTGGCGTAGGAGAGCAGCAGCTCGAGGGTCTGGCTGGTGCGGAGCACGCCCGCCTTGGACAGCGCAAACGCATCGCTGATCACACCTGCCACAGGAAAGTGCTCAGGACAATCAGCGGTTGCAGACTGGTGACGGATTTGGAGCCTAGCAGCGGGCTTGCATGGAAGACGCGGCAACCAAAGAGAAGGCAGAGCAAGCTCAGCGACTCCTGGGTCCAAGCGGAGGTGGCAAAAACCGCAGTCGATCCAAGGTTCTTTTGGCAAACTGTCTAAAGACAAGGGGTCTGTGTAGTCTGTCAGCTTGACGAAGACCGAAAGTCTCCAGCCAGCCCTCAAGTCAGCAAAGCGCCGCGCCCAAAGGGGAAACGTCATCTTCCTCAACGTTTCCCTCCCCGCATACTTACAGCTTTGCTCAGAGCTATCGTTGTCATCGACTGGAAACAAAGTTTACTGTCAATCACCAGGTGTCTTCGTAACGCCCTCCGCTGCCGAGCCTGTCAGTAAATTTGTTCACCGAGCAAGCGGATGCTTCCCCCTTACCTAGTCGGTCCACGGGCGGCAGTGCCAGCGACTTGACGGCCCCTGCCAAAGCTTTCCACAGATCCGGCGTGTAGTTCACCCGGTAGATGCCCGTTTGCGCCCGGTTCAGCTTGAGCCAGCTGTCAGAAGAGGCCGGTGCCGCGCTCGAGAAGTCCGCCTCGCGGTCCTGGGAAGTCAACAGAAGAGTTTAGAGAGGTGGTGGGGCTACGAGCAGAGGCGGCAAACTGAAGTTGGGGGCGAGTAGAGCTTGGATGAAGTATTGCTGGGCGCTGGAAATCCTAAGTGGGGCGCTGATGGCGTCGGGACTGGATTGTCAAAGGACAAGTCCCTTTCGTAAAGGAAGCGAAGGGGGACATATTTTGCTTTGCATCACAAGAAAGAACTGATGGCAGCAGCTTTGCAGAAGAAGACGCAATAGACAAAAGCCAACTGAGCCGACTACATCGATAGCCAAGCCACTGAGAAACGGCATAAGGGCGACTTCGACCTGCAGGCTGGCAAGAAAGACCTTTCAGGCCCAATTGTTGTAGCCCCAACGTTTAATCCGGTACAAAAGCAAGTAATCTTCCGCCTCTCACCTTGAGCACAAACAGCGGCAATTCCGTGACTCCTTCCGCGCCCCCCCCCTGCGACGCGTTGATGGGCACCCACCACAGCTGCTGGTCCTGCTCCGGCGCGGGGGGGCCGGACGACAGGAAGCGATTCTGCCTGAGCTCGAGCCCTTTGTTGTCGGTAACCGTGATGAGGGGGAAACCGGTCTGGCGGGTCCAGCTCTCCATCCATGACTGCACGGGCTTGCCCGAGGACTCGCTGAGGGCCGCCCACAGGTCGGTGGTCACCGTGTTGCCGTACTGGTGGCGGTGCAAGTACTGGTGCAGGCCCTGAAAAATAAGGCAGTCAAGGTATGAGTGTCGGGTTTCGGGTTGGAGATCGGGGGTTGGATCCGGAGACGGATGTCCTTTAGGTATAGGGGTGACAGTGCAAGTACTGGTGCAAGCCCTGGAAAAGTTGATGGTCGAGAAATGTATTTCGGGTTTGGGATTTGATTTTGCCATTTTAGCATTGAAGTTTATTTATCTCAGCCATACTGGTGGCAGTGCAGATCACTGATGGAGGCTCTGGCCCGAACAGGTGGTCAACATTCGAGCCTCCGGTTTGAGAATTGGGGTCGGTTTACCTTGCCGTACTGGTGGCGGTACAAATACTGTTTGAGGAAGGGAGACCTTCAACGGATCCACCAGCTTACGACAGAATACAAGCATCACTCGTATTTGGAGAGCGAGACGACGTCACGAGGAAGGGTACCTCACCTTCTTGAAGTCGTCCGCCCCGAGCGCGGCCTCCAGCTGGCGAATGACGCAGGCGCCCTTCTGGTAGCTCAGCGCGTCAAAGACTTGCCCGATCTCCTTGGGGTCCTTGATGGGCACCTCCACCGGGTGCGACGACAGCAGCGCGTCGGTAGTCAGCGCGCGGGTGGCCTCACTGCCGGTGAACTGCACCCGGCAAGGTTTGTTTACCTGGTTTTTACCATGCTCCAGCACTACTGCACGAGTACGACTTGCAGGCACCCCAGTATTGAGGCTGAAGGTTCACATGCGAACTCCAGCGGGTTGTAGGTCCTTGAGATTATGGTAACCTGGACTTGTAACTCTTCGTGGATCTGCAAGCTGTGATGTTGAGGGAATAGAACAACGCGCCTCCGCTCCGGGGCACTTGAGCCAGAACCGTCAGGTTATTGGACCGTGTGAGAAGAACCATTGATGATGTCGTCGATGAGATAAACAGCCAGCTTCCTGAGTAGCTTCGAGGCACGACTACGAGGAGTTTGGTCTATGAAAGCACCGTCGCTCCCAAGCGAGTAAATGCTTTGCGGACCTTTACCAAGCTTTTGGAATTTGCTCTGGGATGAATGCTGAGGTCTGGTCGTGTGACGTGTAGTTTCAGCCCTAAAGACGTTGCTCAGATTGGCTCGGGTGTCAAAGTGGGAGGCCGTACCTGTGTCCAGACGTCCCACTCCGGGAACACATGGTCGACTCCCAGCCAGCCCACCCACGTGGCGAAGCCCTCTTCATGCAAGTGAACGAGGCGATATTAGTGGACTGCGACTTGGCAGACGTAGAAATTCTGGTTTGAAATCAAAGAATCTGAAATTTTCACAAGCCTCGTCTTGCAATTTACATGACGTGAAGCAGTTGCCTCAACCGCTCCTCCTTGCTCAAACGGAAATTCGTACCGAGCAGATTGACGTCTCCTCCGTTTCATGTGTGCAGAAAGAGGAGGCTTTCCGATCGGGGATCTATGCAGGCTTACCGTTGAGCCACAGGTCCGTCCACCAGCTCATCGTCACGAGGTTGCCGAACCACTGTACCAAGAGCGAGCCAACGATTCACTTAAGCGGAGAGGCAACGCCCTGCGACCGCTGCTGCCTTCACAATCTGTCTTTGAAAGCGCTTTTGATTGTTACTAGAGTCCCGTCATGACGGAATCAAAATCAGAAGTTCCATTCAGACTCGAAGCTACTCATTCTTCAAATGTACAAGAGCCAGGGGAAGTAATTTGCACACTCGCATTCTCTGAGCGCACCGGCTCGACGCGATGCACACTACATGACGACTCAGCGAACAATCGGTTCGTTATAAGAATCCTCACCTGATGCGCCAGCTCGTGTGCCACTACATACGCAACGCGCTGCCGCCCCGTGGCAGACGTGTTCTCGTCGACCAGGAGGGCCGTCTCCCGGAAGGTGATGAGGCCCCTGGACACGTGGCAAGAAGATCAGCGATGGATCTGCCGCCAAGGGAACAAGTCTGGGTGTGGTAAATGACCACATGTGTGCAGGACCGTAGGAACGTGCTAACGATCAAGCGGAGGGCGAACGTTGACAGTTTTCGGCAATAAGAGGCAGGGTACTTCCGCTTGTACAGACTCATAACCGATCACATATCGGGAAAAAGCAGGAGAAGAACCCGGTCGTGAAGACCTTGAGGCAGACTCTAGCTGCGGCAGCACAAATGGATAAAAAGATATAGTCGAGTTTTGAAACCGTCCTGTAAATTGCCACAAACTTGCAAATCCATTACTAGTGATCCTCTGAAACGGACTCAAAAAAATGTACGCCGATGCAAGCGAACCTCCAAAACTTAATGTAACCATCGAACTACGTACCAGTTCTCCATGGCGCCTGCGGCGAAGTCGGGGATTGCGACGAGGTCGCTCTTGGGCAGCGGGTAGTCGATCCCGAAGTAGTCGTTGAAGAAGGACAGGATCTTGGCCGCCACCTCCAGCGCGAACCGGCCCTGCTCCTTCTTGCCGGGGGTGGTGAACACGCGCACCTGCAGCGCACAGGCGTTGCAAGGAGTTACAAAGATGCGCGGTGCTCAGAATTCTAGATTGCATTTCGAAAAGCGATGGGCGGGATGGGACGACCGGAGTCGCAAAGAGCAAGAGCAAAGGGACAGCAGGTGAACCTTTCCTCGGCCCCCTAAGCGACCTATCGTCGTCATTCGACTGAAGCAGGAACAACGCCGCTGGCTGCAACCACTACATAAAAGTCATTGGACCTGAAACTCAAGGCCCGATATCGTCGTGCATACCTCGAAAGCCTCTCCAGACGTCCAATAGGGTCGAAGCACAACACCCCAAAGAACTCAAACTTGGACTTCAACTACCATAGTCGATGGTCTTGCCGTCCGCCACCTCCAGCTAACGTACCGAATCGAGCACCATCTTCTGCACCCGACATCCATCACGCTCAGAAAGGTTTGTCAAGTCCGGCTTCAACTAGACTGCGTGCTCACGTCGACGCCCTCTCGGTTTTGCCCTCCACCTTTGCCATCCATTGCACCCCTCCGTTTCCCGCGATCCGTCCCAAAGAAGCTCATCAAGTCCAAAGAAGCTCATCAAGTCCAACTTCAATTAAATCGTTTTCTCACGTCGACGCCCTCCTTGGTCTTGAACTCCATCTTTTCGATCTATTGCACCCCGACGTTCCCTGAGATCCGTCACGAAGAAGCTAATCAAGTCCAACGTCAACCACATTGTATGCTCACGTCGACGCCCTCCTTGGTCTTGCCCTCCACCTTCTCCAGCTCCCCCACGATGAACGCCACCAAGTACGTGCTGCATATGGGCGTCTCCGCAAAGTGCACGCTCTTGGTGCCGTCGCCGTTGTCCGTCTCGCTCACGACCGGCATGTTGCTCAGCGCGGTGAGCGCGGACGGGACAACTAGAGTGATGTCGAACTTGGCCTTCTGGGCCGGCTCGTCCCAGCTAGGGAACGCGCGGCGCGCGTCGGTCGCCTCGAACTGCGTGGTCGCCAGGTGCTTCTTCTGGCCGCCAACGGTGTAGGCAGACCCTAGAAGTGGTACAAACGATGAGTCAATGGGGTTTTAAACGTCAGAGGAGCGCCTCGAAGTGCGTTCTAGGCTTAAAAGGTTTGCATTTGGATCCAGTTCGAGCAGCACATACATACAAAGAAATTGCTCCATCTTGCCAGAGGGCCTAGGGAGGAATGGGAGGTCGTTCAGCGACCTCGATCCGGATCAATGTGAATTGGGTGACCATATTCTCCGCGATTGGATCAATAGGAGGATTGAAGCAAAGACGGTTCCACACCCATCGGAGTTCGCTGGGGCTGATCTCAGGATGTGAAGGACTGCCAAACGAAGATCGTTTTTCATCGCACATGGTCACAAGGATTACGAACGAAAAGGTTTTAAACACACAGTCACAATCAGTATGCCCTAATCCTACTGGTCCTCAGGAAGCGACGTGACACAGAATTTAAAGAACTCTGCAGGGGCAGATTTCATGCAAGCACTCACGGTAGAACCCAGCCATGTTGGTATTGAGTGTCCCAGTGAAATCGATAGTCAGGAGCGCTGTGCCCTTCTTCAGAGTGGCACCGTCCAGCTTCACAGTCGCCGTCTCTGCCTCCGAGTCCAGCACTACGGCGTCCCCTCCGAGCTCCTTGCTCACATCATCGCTCTTTACCACAACCTGCAGGGCGCAGGCAGTCGTGACAATAAGAAGGCTACCTGGTTATGATTTTGTTAGTGAGTTTGTTGTACTTCAGGGAGTCTTGTTCAACACACACATATTATGGAAGTGCTGCCTCTCGCAAGTAAGGAACGTGGAGATAAGTACATTGCGTCCGGCAGAAGATGTCAAATGGCAAAAGTCACAAAACTTCCCTCAATAGCTGGAACACTTTGAGTTCAAGTTGTAATTTTTACTATGGTTGTTCCATTGCAGAAGGTGGGATCAATTTGTGTACGCTTTGATCGCAAGGAGGAATCCAATGCTTCCAAACCGATTGTGAGATGCAGGGACATTAGAAACATTGACATGAACAGAACGGCCAGTGGGGATGATGTAGCTCGCATCGCACTGGATTGGATTCTCGCCATGCATTGTATGCTGATTGCCAGGCAGAAACACTCTTTATCACACGAGATTGCTTGATCTTGTTGGCTATATGAGGGACTGGAGCGAAGCTTCATTCTACACCCGAATGATCGTGTACCCAAGTATTTCCCAAACTTGCAATGGCTAAAATTGCAAGTGAGAACCTTGAGCAAGCTTACCCCTGCACAGACTTACAAGTCACAAGAAAGTGCAAACTTGTCCAATTGCGCTCTGAGCTCAGGTGACACCGTTTTTGTGGGGCATAAACCCTTGTCCCATGGAAACATATTATCTGGATTCGGCCCAGACGGAGATTCGGAGCAAAAGAGGACTGATCTATGGTGGTAGGAACAGCACCAATTGTTGGAGATCTCGTGACCTGAAACCCTGCCCAACCTACAGTAAGCTTGACAGTGCCCCATGACCAATCAAAGCAGAAATATGAACATCTCAACTTGAAGACACGCCACTCTTGACAGTGCCCCATGACCAATCAAAACAGAAATATATACATTTCAAGTCGAAAAGATGCAACTTCTGGTACATACAAAGCTGTCACACGCAACCACCCACCTTTTGGAACTCTAGCTCAGCAGCATGGAATTTGAGCTCCTGGGTGTCTTCCTTCACGTCCAGCTCAATCTGCGCAACCCCACCAAACTTGAAAGTTTCCAGGTCAGGTTTCAGGGTGAGAGTGTATTTCACCGGGGACACGTTCTTTGGGAGGAGGACATCAACAGGAGGCTCCGCCATGTTGCTCAATTGCCACAGAAGCGAATTTGGGCTTGAGAAGAGACCTGTGAAAGCTGAACTTCGTGTGGCGCAGCTAGCGAAGTTGGGGCGCATGCAGAAGTGCAGGGAAGCATGTTCGTGGTCATGGAGGCAGGTTTTAACTTTTGAGGCAACTTCGGCTGGGTCAATCCTGGGTCAATCCGGACAAGGTTTCGACTCGCCGCTGCAGACGGCGTACCGGTTGCCGAAACCGTCTCGAACATTGCAGGTGGAACCCGGTTCAAACAGCTGGGGTTGAGACCGACAGCGTCAGCCTGCGATCGAACTTGCATCGAAGGTTCAATTAATCGTTAGTACTACCTAATAGAAACCAACGCCTGCAGAAAGACGCAGCTGTCAGTCAATTCCCCAGCCTCAGGTCCAGGACTCAGGAGCATTGCTTTGGCCCTGGGCGCATCTGGCATGGCATGGGCAGCCTCGATCTCTGAAAGTGGCCCATTCCTGCTTTGATGAATCCTGGCCTGGGGTCTTTTGCATTGGAGCTGAGAAGCAGAGTATCAAGAGGTAGAATGTTCCTATGCAACGTGTGGTGGGGTGGTAGTTTTTGATTCTGGTGCTTCACAGAGCACTCGCCTTCTTTCCTTCAACAAATATCTAGCATCTCACGAAGTCAAGGAGAAGAATATTTGGTAGCACGTCGTCTGAACAAATTATCAGGTTCATAGTGGCAGTCATCAAGTTGCAAGCCGCTGCAAATTGTGCTGCAGAGATATAAAGGTGCTGGTGGTGCTGGGGCAATGCCAGCTGCGGAGCGTGCAGCGAGCAGTGCTCTTGTCTACCAACCAGCAAACCTCAATTTCACGAACGAGTTCCTGGCGGGCAAACACACTTCCACCGTCCAGTATGTGCCACGAGGGAACAAGTGGGGGGGAGCACCAAGCGTTGGTCACACCGCACTCATCAGGAATAGGTGCAGACGACATCAAACAAGTGCAATCGCACTGTCTGTAGAAACCGTACAGGCCCCCTCAATCAATCAGTGCGTCTGTTATGATCTCCACTCAACTTTAGTTCCATACTCAACTGCTTGGGAGTGGCAGAAAGCTCTCGTCTCCCAGCGGCACCTGGCGCGATCAAAGGGCGAGGAGATGGCAGATGCGGTACTCATTCTGCAACACCCGCCTGTATTTACTCTTGGGACTCGCAGCTCGCTTGAAAATCTGAAGTTTGACAAAGACCACCCCCCCTTTGAGCTCCACGTGACTGAGCGGGGCGGAGAAGTGACGTATCACGGGCCAGGGCAGGTATGGCCAGCAATGACCTCTTTTTAGACTTTCGAGCAGGGAACTGTGATCCTGGAGAGGTCTGTATCCACACTGCATCAGCCATTCTCGTCTTTGTAACAGCCCTGCTTGCTCCTTCACATTCGTAATGGGGCCAGTTGCAGAGTATCTAACTAGCTTCCCCTTGGTCACCTGAAGTCATGTAGGAAGGGGGGCAATGTAATCACCCTTAAGTTCTTCTCACACCAAGCGAAGACTCTGTGTCAAAAATTTCCAACTTTTTTCAAGACCGCCCTTGATGGATTGAAGCGAAATGTGTCTGGATCCTTGATCTGCTTCAGTTGGTCGTCTATCCAATTCTGGACCTGCGGAGGCAGCAGACGGATCTGCACTGGTACCTCCGCTCTCTTGAGGAGGTGATCATCCTGGCTTTGCAAGACGTCTGTGGTATCCAGGCCGGACGAGAACCAGGGTTGACAGGAGTATGGGTTGGTGAGTGCCTTGTTATTGGTTCCTGCCCCTGCCCTAGTCTGTCCTGGCTGAGTGTGGATTCTCATACAGATCCTTTTAATCTGCATAGTGCGCTCTTCCGATGCAAGAATTCTCTTTGCTTTCACGTTGTTCTGTGTTCGTCACTAGTGTAGGCCTTCTTCAGCTGCTAGACCTTTAATACTTTCTGTTGATGCCACGCAGGAGAGTCAAAAGTTGCGGCAATTGGTGTGCGAGTCTCAAAGTGGGTGACATACCATGGCTTGGCTCTGAACGTCTCCAATGATCTTGATCCCTTCAAAAGTATCATTCCTTGCGGAATTTCTGATAGGCCTGTTGGATCTGTGAAAGATCTGCTGCAAAAGGATGCTACAAACATAGGAAGAAGCTTGGTTCTAGAGTCGGACTCTGAGCTTCTAGATGCCTTCAGCAGTTCTTTGAAAATACAATTAGCAAAGGTTTTCAACTTAGATCTGCTTGAACGAACAACGCCGGATTGTCTAAACGAGTTGAGCCATCTAATTCATTAGACTGAATGTCATATTTGAACATGTGACAATACTGTGACGCGTTCAAACGGAGCATGAGTCCAATAGCAAAGCAGCAAGTCGAGACGACCATATCGATCAGTGCAGTCGACATGCACGAGAAGCTAACACTTCGTGCACTGTACTGGGACGGTCTCTGACAGTGACTTGCAGGTTATTGTTATGCATGGGGCTTGATCTTAAATATTTCTATGATCTCACCAGATTGCGGGCGTGCCGGCACATGTCGAATGAACCAATCCATATTTTGATTCCAGGCGCGGCAATTCGCGCGGCTGTATGCAACAGTGGAACATGGCATAAAACCTTCGCTGCATATCTAATTAATTTTCGAAGCATGGTCATGGCGGCCATGGAAGCTGTCGCGTCTCACATGCATGCAAACGCGTCATGCCGCAGCAAGGGCCTATGGTGCACTATAATCGATAAAGTCACCGGTAGTGTACATAAACTGGAGTCTGCATACATAGCTTTTACAAGCTGGCGCACATCCCCAACCCTTGTCTCATAATAACGCTTCAGCTGGCTTGAGGGACATATTGCAACCAATAGAATCTTTTGTTATAGGCGGCTGTAAACCAGCCTGCATGCAGAACACATGCCTGTGCTCCATGGCGCAGACGGCATACATACTGAAAGACCATCTCGTGCAACGTCAGAGAAGGTCTCGCAATCATTGAATTGATAGCATTCAATCAGACCTTGAACACCTCTGTTGAAACCAAGCAATACATTGAATAAAAGTCTTCTGATCATTGAGAAGCAGAATGTCCACCTTTTGCGAATTCTTGGAAGAAGCAAGTTTATAGCACATGAAACAACAACTAACATCCTAGCAGACGGGAAGCAATGTACTTTGGGACACAGCATCGTGCATACCCTGGCAAGCTTAGCTGGCAGTCCAACAATTCTTCTACCTGCCACCATAAAGCCCCACCGACATCCCCATTGACAGTAACAATCGACCCCACTGAGAAGCAAGCACAAGACATTTCCATTGGCAGATTCTAACATTGAATGTGATCAGCAGGAACGACATCCCAAGGTCGTCTTATCGCAGTTTTCTTTTGGCCGATGCATCCCCACGAGTTGTGGACCAGCTGACCAGTTGTGGAACCTGGACAAACACAGCATGCTAAAATCATTCCAGGCGCTGTGCACATAGAAGCACTAAAGCACTCTGTCAATTCAACTATGAAACATACTTGCTCCGACCAGCCAGTACATATAGAAGACATCTGAGTCCACTGAAACGGTCGCTGATCGCCAGGGCAGATGATACAAAGCAGTTACAAAGGTCACTCCAAGCATACGGGCTTTCTTTCCGGCCACTCCCCAGTCTTTCCGGCCACTCCCCAGTCTTTCCGGCCACTCCACTCCTCACCTTAGCCGAACTGGAAGCCCCCGCTTGGTAGCATCTGCTGGCTGTCCCCAAAGGTATACTGCGTCGCATTCGCATCAATGGCCGGCGCGAGGTTTGGCTCCTCATCCTCCAGCCCGAAGTAGGTTTCCAGGATCTTGACCGCCTTCTCGTAGATGTCGTTGTTGTTGTGTGACTGCAGGTTCTCGATCTTCTCCAGGCCCTCCGCCTCATCGATGAACTGCGCGTAGACATTGACGCCCTCGGTCGTACCCAGCTCCTTCTCGGCCTCGCCCACCTTGAGGATGTTCTCCAGCCCCTCCAGGGCCACTGTCACGATCCGGGCGTCCGAAGTCGTCAGCAGGTCGCACAGCGGCTTGATGCAGCCCTGGGACACCAGGTACCTGTGAACGACAAGAGGAACGTTTCAGGTCAGCAGCGAGCATCCGGATGTAAAGCTCTGTGCTCAGACAGGTAGCAGGAGGCAGAGAGAGTTAAGGACGTCAATGGAAACCCAAAAGAGATTAAACTCGCCAAAGTTCAAAGGACAGGGACTACGACTGAAGTCAAGCACTTTAAAAAGCCTAAGTTCAGCCTAGACTTTAACAATGCATCTTTGACGTGTATATACCACCGCTTATCATGCATGTTTCTCCACGAATCTAGAGAACTGTGGCCAGAAGTATTGAAGAGGTACAAAAAACGCATTCCCACAACTACTAACTGTCGGATCTAAGATTTGGCGAGGCCTCAATCCTTACTTCAGCTGATCATGAGTGCCCCCAGAGGTGGCGTTGGAGATCGCCCAGGCTGCTTCCTTCTTGATATCAAACTCTGCATTCTGCAGGAGCTGTACTAGGGGGGGGATGATGTTGGCGTCAATCACAGCCTGCAGTTGGGAAATGATAGTTAAGCACAAGGATTTGTTGTCAAAAACTGGCCCAAGACCTGAGGCACTGCTTCGTTCCAGAAACAGAACCTGAACCTTGCAGGACAGCATAGCTGAAGCTAATCTAGGACTGTATTAGAGGCACGTACCTGGATCTGTTCTTTATTGCCTGCTGTGATGTTGGAGATGGTCCAGCACGCCTCCTTCTTGATGCTCTTCTTGTTGTTGCTGGTGAGCAGGTTCAGCAGGCATGGCAGAGCCCCATTATTGATGATGATCTGCACAGGATGCAAGTTTGTCACATCTGTAGCAATTGTAGCAACCACTGTCTTCTCGTTCTGAGCAGTTTCAGAAGAAAAGCGCGACTAACACTCCTCATGCATGTCCCAGTTACAGGGCAGTGTCCAGCTAAAGAACACCTGCAGATGTTCATACTGAGCGGGGGCACGCACCTGTGTCTGTACATCATCTCCAGTGACGATGTTGCCGATCGTCCGGAGCGCAGGGATGAGAACGGACGCAGACGGGTGACTGCAGACCCAAAGAGCAACAGATTAGCAACGGCAACCACCAGGTGGAAGATCTGCTAGAAGCTCACGTCTACGAACGAGTCTACACGTCCTGTATATGGCCTCTCAATTGAAAATAGGATTGCATGATGCACTACGACTTACAGGAGAAGCTCAACGAGGCGGCGGCAGACGCCTGCTTCAATGACCGCCTGGATCTTGTCATTCGTGCCATCCGACAGGTAGGACAGGGCCCAGCATGCGTCCGTCAGAACCTCCTCGTCGGTGGTGTGGATGAGGCGCTCCAGGGCAGGAAGGGCAGGCTTTGACTGCACACCACGCAAAAGCAACCTGAATCAGCCAATAACACAGCACCGTTATAAACCTGACTCCCATTCAAAAGCTTGCATGAACCCTGTAAAGCTCAGCACCCTTTTCAATCTGAAGACTGAAAACCGCATACCGTATGCTCCGCATACTGGCGTTTCAAATGAACACCAGGTGGCTCACCTGCTCAAAGTTGGGCTGGGGCTTGCCACGGCAGAAGTTAGAGAGCGTCCACGTGGCATTCCTGAGCATAGAGACCTTGGACTTCTCGTTCAGCTGTGCCAGAAGGGGATTGAGTGCCCCATGGCCTAGCACCAGGTCTCTGCAGTGAGGAGAGTCGCCAGCAATATTGCCCAGGGCCCACACAGCCTGCTCCCGGACATCGTCACTGGGAGAGCTGAGCAGCTGTACGAAGATGGGGACTGCGCCATGGTCGATTACGACCTTCGTGTGGTCCGATGTCCCAGAGGCAATGTTGGTCAGCGCCCACGCAGCTTCGAACTGTAAGCGCACAGCTTATCAAGTCAGCAGAGAGAATTCAGAGGAGGCTGCATTTGTCGGGCCCGCAGATCCTCTGTTTGCCGCAAATCCAGAATAATCCATGCAACCCTAAGACAGTCCAGCCTTTTCTCCCACTAAAAAAACCCTCCAGAAAAAGTTGCATATGCAGAATGAATGTTTCAAGGCAACTTCGCATGCATGTGATGAGAGTAAGAAGTCCCATGTTGAGCTCGGATCGCCCCACCGCTCCGGAATACATACTATTTCTTGCAATGCTTCAAGCATCTCTCCTCCCTGCTCTTGATAAGTCTGAGGGACACTGATCAATGTTTCAATTGAAAAGCGCCTCCTCAACTTTTGAGTCACGCACATATTTGCACATTATAGAGGGCCTCCTGATCAGGGGCACACGACTTACCTGCAACTGAGGATAGTCAGTCCGCTTCAGGAACTCCACAAAGAGGGGGACCACACCAGCTCTAATAACCTCCTCAATAGGGGGGTTCCGCTCTGCAGAGAACACTCGCACATGTTAACAACCTTCCCCATTGTTCCACATATATTCTTCCACTGCATTCTCATGCAAGACAGTGGAAGAGGCAACTGCACAGTGTTAACACTACACTTGCATCTTCGAAAGACTTGCAGTATCTGCTGCAATGCAAGATAACAATTTCTGCCGCTCACCTATTGAAAGAAGCTTCCTAAACTGTGTGACAGCCTCAATCTGAGTGTTCCGATCGTCGCTACGAACTCCTTGCACAAGGCCTGGTAGACTCTCCAGCTGCAACAATCATGAATGTGGATGTGTAAGATCAACGCTCCACGTGGAATTTCTGCCTGGACTTGCCAGGCACAAGATCATGAAAAGAAACTGCTCCACCCTCCCAGCACTTTGTCTACAGCATCAATCTGCAATTGTCCTTGGACAATTAAACTTTTCGGACAATTTATTTACCTTTACCACCGGAAGCTGGACCAAGAACTTCAGCGAGAAAATCAAGCTGCACACATGAGATCATTATCGCTCACCTTCTTATCAACAGTTGGCCCCTTGGTCTGATCCAATTGGGATTGAAGGCCAATGTTTCTTTTCTTCAGCAGATTTTCATCGCGCGTGCTCTTTCTAATTGACAGCATCTGATCCTCTCTCTTCCGCCTCGCTTCGTCTCCATCGACAGCCTTCTTGAAGGCCTTCTTCCGGGCCTCGGACCGAGCATCTCTCAACGGGTTCAGCGACATGTTAATCTGCTCAACCCCAGATGCTCAACTTTGCGTCGTGCCTGACTTGAACAGGCTTCTACGCAAAAGACCACTTGTCAGTGTGATAAGCTCCGAAGAAAAAGGACCTCGAAATAGAACAACGGCTCTTTGCCCGACTGAACCCTTCTCAACAAACAACAGATATCCTCCCCTACACCTGCTAAGCTAAAGTTCTGAAAAGCCTGTGGATTCCCGTCAGAAAGCACCTTTGCCCCCTCTAAACAGGCAGCGTTAATCCGATTCTCCAATGTCAGCAGCAGACAGAAAGATACTCGGAACAATTAACCTTTTGAAATGCTCCAAGCGCCCTGAGCGTCCTCCCCCTCCCTACTTCTCTGATCTCAAACAGTTTATGCAGTCTTGCAAATTTCACCAGGTCACAAGTTGCAAGTTGCAACCCGAGGCTGAAGACCTCGATCCAAGTACCTAGCAGCTGAGAGAAGTGTGGTGTCAATTCTATCGAGATTGTCAGTAACTCTGTGGGGACTGTCGGAACAGCAACTGCTTCGACACTATCGCAGCCACAGCTCTGGTGATCATACTGCAGCCCGGGCGGAACAGCGGAACAGGAGACTTGCAGTACTTTCGATTCCGTCTTGGTTCCGCTACCGGTCACGACGTAGCGGAACCTTGAAAGCTGGCACCAGCCACTTATTTGTGGGTGCCTCAACAGCACCACCACCCTGGCCCTGGGCCTGGGCCTCAGCCAGTGCACAGCAACAACTAGGCTCCAGCAGCCGCCATTCTAACTGAGTGACTCTGCATTAGCCTGGTCATGTGCAAGACACTCTGGCAGGGGGTTGCATCGGAGCCACGATGGGCTTTGCAAGACATGAGTTACTTGATCCGTCTACGTTCAATAGCGGCTACTGAATTGTGCTTCTGATTTGCATGTGCCCGAACACAATGGGCAAAAGTGAAGTCAGAGCTTCCTTCCTTTCGCTAAAGTTCGTCATTTTGTTCGTCTCTTTAGCCAGCATACATTGTGAAGGGAAGTCTGTGGACCCGAGGTTGGGGGCTTCGCTCCTGCAGATAGACAGCGATCCAATTGGAGAGGTGGACACATTTGCAAGCTTGTCAGAAAAGGACAGGCAGCAATGGGGCCGCTTGGGGTCAACCTCGCTGGCGGACAAGGCAAAAGCCCTGGGAAATCTGGAAGTAGCTTCTGCTGTAGAGGTTCGGCTGGTGGGGTTTGATGGAGAAGGGGCAGAGGCCATCAAGTTGAAAGAGGCAAGCACCCTGGGCCATAAATGCCTTGCGACACCCTTGCACATGGTGGTGCAGTTTTTTTGAGTTGGAGAAGCAATCAAAGTTCCAGAGGCCTTTCTGAGCACAATTCAAAACCTTCTTCCTGATAGTTGAGTCAGGTAGTGCTTTGGGCTAATACAAGCCTGTCATCTGCCTGCACCTGTAGACTGGTCGCGGTGTCCCTGTTGCCCCTCATAGTTGTGGCACTTGCAATCTTGGATACTCAGGATTCTACTCATCACCATCGTTGGTGCCTAGCAGACCCCTCGCTCACATCTTGACTAGGAAGCCAATGTAAGCCTTTATGAGCTGACCACAACATCTAGTCAACTTCCTTTCCATCCCAGCTTCTCCTTGTGCCCCTGCTTTGGCTGATCCATCGCCTGTTTGCAGTCTGACTTGTGGCGCTACATCACAGCATTGCGGAGGGACCCCAGGATTCATGTCCTCCAGAGCGAAGTAAGCGGCCAGTCAAATTTCTGGATATATTTCCCCATTAATTCGAAGTCAAGCAGACTTTTGAGTTTAACACTTGCTGGCATCCGTCGTCTGCATTCTCCAACAAGTGCAAAGTGTACATCATCTCCTTTGAAACAGCCGCTGGACAGATACATTTGACTGGCACTCGTTGCCTAAATAAGTGGCCCTAAAGAACTGCGAACTTCAGGTCAGACTCGCTCACCTGGACAAAGCTGCGGAGGGAAGTCCTTGGGCCTTGGTGATGATCAACAAAGATTGATTCTCACCGTTTGCGTGTACCCTCCAGCCGCATTCGCTCCTTCTGCGGAGCAGCGTGCTCTTCCACATCACCAAGGCACCGAGAACGCTGAGCCATGCAATCTGGGATGCCGTGAGGCTGTCGCTGGAGAAGGTGGGATATCTGCCAGAGGACATAGATGAGCGAGGCAACCTGTGGAGTGGCTGTTGAGTGGCTGGTTACCTCTTGCCAACTTATCTGACCTTGAATGGTCTTGATAGCAGCTTGCGGCTAAGGGCTAGGTGGTCTCTCAACTAGTCGAGACTGTCTTCAAAGCCGTTGGCAAAACCAGTGTCACTCTATGCAGACGAAAGATCGCTTTCCACCAATCCTTGCGGAAACAGTCCCGGCCAACGTGGTGGACGAGATAATTGCGGACGAGGTCAGGCAGAGGAGCGGGCTTCTCGTACCGACTATCTACATACTCAACCCGCCACCTCAGGTCAGCAACTATCAAGGCTCTACTTTGCGCACTGCTCATGCACCATTTACCTTCTGCCAAGGTTGTTTCGTACAGATTCGATTGGGGCACTTTGGGCTCAAAACGCTCGGACGGTGTCCTTCTTGCATGCTGCAAATTCTTATATTGCCGATCTGGCACCTAACCTTGGAACGCGTTCATTTGTTTGTGTCCTTGGCCCGTCCCTTGGTTCTTATTCCAGGCCTTCTGCAATCACATCCGCACCTTACCACGGGGAGATCCCTCAACCTCGTTGTCCTACGAAGCTGACAGCCGCAGTCATTCACCGAGAGACTGGCAGGCAGCTTCTGACACTTCACCTTCAAAATCACCAGGCCAGCAGCTACATCTACGGTAGCGAGAAGGGCGGCCAGGCGCAGTTCTGCGGGGGTTCGGTCTGGGCCGGCACCAGCGAGCGCTACATGTGGGTTGACATCACATCGGGCCCGTCGATCTATGGCCCCGTCTTTGAGGGGGAGGGGGGAACAAGTCCGAAGAGCATTCCCAAGCCTGCGCATTATGGGCCGGAGAACTGGAGCAGAGCGTTTGTGGCGGACCTGGTGGGAATGGTGGCCGATGCTGCGGAGCACATGTTTGCACCGCCGATGGACCGGTGAGGATGTTCACAGGTGGAAACATCTTGTTCCAGTTGTCGGTTCTCTTGGCCTGTGGTACCAGGAAAGAAAGGGAAAATGGAAGGGAGGCAAGTGAAGAGAAAAGGAAGGGCGGAGCAGCGCAACTGGCGAGCGGGTTAAGTTCGTCAGATACGCGGGACAGTGATCAGAGTGCAACTGATCGCAACAGAGGGCTAAGTAGAGATGTGCAAAGAGTCGGGACGGACAGAGCAGAAGAAAAGAAAAGTCTGAAATCTGCTTAGCCGTTTGCCATGGAAACATTTCCATCGTTCGAAGTGCTGGTCTCCGCATAGAAGTGGCCTCCGATCCAGAGACTCTATCTTACAAGGCGTATCTCTCTTCGAATGTCTTCGTCTGCTCGCATTCCTTGCGCTGACTCAAGGACAAGCTCGTACATCCCAACTCAATCATTGAAACTCTTCTGGCAGTCAGAGACTGAGGACATTCCCGGACGCTTTATCCCAACCCAGTGTATGGTTCGAAACGGACGTAGCAAATAGACACCAAGTGATTTTCTCTTGCAGGTTCCCAGTTCCTTACACCCCTCTGACGGAGGTGCATCTCATCCATATTCGGGAGGGGCCGGCCCTTAAGGGCACAGGGCTGGAGCAGCGGGACGAGTTTGGCCTCAAGGAGATTGAGAACATCGTAAGAGCACGGCTACTCTCGTTACTGGAAACTTTCAGTGCACAACGCACGTATCGGGTTTACTCTTCACACCCTTGGGCTTGGACTAAGAGCGTTTTTGATCTGTAAAATTCGAAATCTGAAGGGCAGGTCGATTGTTGCAACGATTGTGTTCGTTTGTTCCTCTGGAGCAGTCATACTCTTCTCAGAAATTGGTTCGCCCTTTTCTTCGAAAGAGCGCCCGTGTCCCCTTTTGGTCAAAACTCGCATGTTGTTTTTCTGTGCAACCTGCTCTTGCGTAACAAATGTCGTCGAACCGTTGTGGACGACAATAGGCCACGCTTGCTTGGTGATTTGCGCGCCTGCCACCGCCAAGCTTCCTCACTTCTGCACGGTCGACACGTACTTTCCAGGTTTTTAGCAAGTGGACCTATCTTACTTGCTTCGCACGGCTTCGCTCTTCTCGCAAGTCAGCTTTGACGGACGGCCTGCTTCTGAAACCCCGCCTCTGCCCGCTTTTCCCTAGTCCGATGAGTCCCCAACTCATTAGAAACTCCAAGCTAGACACTCCTAACCATCCTCTAACCCACCAGGTGACCACCGAGCTGCTGCTCCCCCGGCAAAGCGTCCGCTTCATCGAGACGTCCCTCTCGCTGGGCGACTGCGAGTTCTGCATGGCCGCCTTCGGGCGCGCGCTGCGTACGGCCACTCGCCCCCGCGACGAGGGCCCCTCGAGGCGCGCGTTCCAGGGCAGCCTCGCCGCGACCGCGTGGGAGTACCTGGACGCCGCCGAGCTGCACCACTGGCTGCAGGTCTTCCGCCGGAACATCCTGAGTGAGCCACGGCGCCGCTTTTGGGGTTCTTGTGATTCTTGTGTCTCTGTTCAAATAAGAACGACTCCAAGGAGAGTCTTTTTGCAGAGACTTTCTGGGTAAGCCACGGCGCCGCTTTTGGACCCTTGGGAGGGTGGCTCCGGGATGAACGAGGACGTGTCCAAGCGGATGTTTGGAGAAAGGGGACGTCCTTGAAAACCTCGCAAACGAAGCGGCCGTCATTTGGGGAGTGTGTTGAGACTTGCAGACGACGGGGCCGTTCAGATGCTACGCATTGTGTTTCTTCTAGTTTAAGGGTGAGGCATGTTCTTAAATCTCGCTCGTTTCGCGGTGCTGGCAGCGAGGCCTAGTTGCTGGCAGTGAGACAGCGGGCGACTTGGCGGTCGAAGCACGTGGGCAATCATCCTCGAGGGAGTTGAGGCAGCAACAACTCCGGTGCTTCTAAACCTCTTTCATGTTGCGAAGCAGAAATATCTCTCAAACGTCGTCCAAGTCCCCCTTCGCTTTCACAGCAACCTGACAGACATCCTCCATGTATCCAGCGGAGGTCGGGCGCATTCACGGGTCGTTCCGGACCGCGGATGGCCAGCCCGGGACACGTGTCATCCCGGTGTACGTGTTTGACCAGGACACGGACACGCCAGCGTGGCTGGACCAGGCGCGCCAGGCGGTGGCCTTCGATGACATGGTCATCGCCGTCCGGGGGAAGGGGCCATGGCAGCCCTCCGGTTTCCAGTGAGTGCCACGTGTCCCCTAGAAGGAGGTGTATTGCAGCAAACAGTGCTCGGTCGCTATTCGGGGCTGTACTGCAGTGCAAGAGGACGTGACGCCGCCTTGAGCTCCCCTGCTCAATTAGACACATTTCTACCCCGCCCCCCGCCCCCTCACCCCGCAGATGCAACGGCCAGATGGCGATGCTGAAGCCGGAGGCGGTCCCCCGCGCGTTGCTCGCGGCGCTGCTCCAGACGGGCTGGGGCGTGGCGCCGTCGTACGAGACGTGGTCCGTGTTCCACAACGCCACGCTGCACGACTGGCTCTGGTCCATTGGGCGGACGCCCTTCGGACCGCTCTCGGACGTCCTCGGCATCTCGTTCGTGCAGCGGACGGCCGCGCAGCGCAACGTCGTGCTCACGCTGCTCCACCGGGCGGTGGAGGAGGCGGGGGAGATGCTCCGGGCGGTGCAGGTGGGGCCGGGATGCAGAGGAGATCTGAGCAGTTCGAAGCAATCCCTCAGTCGAACGGTTCTGCTTCTACTTTTGTGGCTGATTTGTCCTCTGGTCACCTGCACCTGTATGCGACAGAAGCTGCTACGCATAGGAAGCTCCGACCTACAGCATTTTGGAATCTGGCAAAGAATGGACGTTTGTGGAACATACGTCTGTGCTGACCACCTCGTGGGAAATTGCTTGTCTGACAATCTTTTCCGTGAGAGGAGCAGATCAAGAAGCGGTATCTCTGAGACTCATAATCTCCCTGTTCGTTGCTTGACCCTCCCATACCCTCGCCCAAGGCCCCATATTCTGACGACTCTTGACATGTGCCTTGATCCAAAACAAAACAGAAGCAAGCCCCCTCTACCAGAGTTGCTGCCCTTTCCTTTTCCAGTCAAACCTCACCATTTCCCCCCCGTTCGCAGAGCTATGGCGGCGAGCAGGTGCTCCTCTCCCCGGCCCGGCACCTGGAGTACTCGCAGCGGTGGGGGGTGCTCGCGCACAAGCTGGACAAGTGCGCGGAGGCCCTGTCGCTGCTCAAGTTCCCCGTGGCGCTCTACTTCGCCCAGTCTGCGCGCCACGACCTGCAGGGCCTCCAGGCGCTGCTGCAGCAGGGGGCCGGCGAGCTGACCACCCTGCTGGACTGCTACGAGGTAAGCGCAACTGAGAGGATTGGTATCTATTTCTCTTATATGTTTGGATATCATTCAGCAGTTTCAGTCGACGATGCAATTGGCGTCGAACGAAGACGGCTAGCGTTTTCAGCCTCCCAACTTCTGTCCAAGTATACTAACGTAACACTTTCGCTCTAGCTACGTACTAGGTAGATACGTTCTGGGTACTGATTGAAGCGCTTTCATCGGGTCCGAGGTCTGTAGATGGGCCTCTCACCCATCCTAGTCGGCTCGGAAAGAGTTAAGAAGGCGCTGCTGATGGTCTGGTTCGTCCGGTTGTAAAGGAGGAGATAGTTTTCACCACTCGACTTGAGGCGATTCGCGATCTGAGACTCCCCTTCCGAGTTAGTCGGGGTCCAGGTGCAATATGACGAACGATTCTTGCCACTCCTCTTTCCTACTTTTCCCCAGAAAATGCTTCTAACTGCGTCTGCGCGCTTCATGAGAGAAGAAATTCATGACGCCGTCAAACGAAATTCTGTACGACCCGCACTATTGTCTTCTTCTGGAGGAGAAAGAAAAACGGCACCATGACTTCGAAGTGCGTGAGATTCTTTGTAGAACCTTAATCGGAGGTCTTTGTTAAGTCGTGGTCAAGCAGATTGGCGGAGGCCGGAAGGCTGGAATGGTTGTAAGGAAGTAATCAGGGCACCGTGCTTGATTGTGACGTGAGTGCTCGTCTCAATTGGGTCTTAATTGGAACGGCCCTGTAGAACATAAGGGGTCAGGGGTCATCTTGGGGGGTGCTCAAAGCCACTGCTGACGCCTCCGGAAGCCAATCTGAGAAAGAGACGGATTCGAGAAAGAGACTGAAGGACGATTCTTGCTGTGTTGTGCAGGAGCCTCCTTTTCCATACTTGGGGGTAGGCTCTACCGTTGGCCTTCTTGCTGTTGCTTTCTATGTATACACGAAACGAGAACAGTTATTCAAAAACAAAAGGAAGCAGTTCTAAGAGTAATCTTACTGGTCATTGCCAAAGATGCGTGATATGGGCGATCCACTTGCAGCAAGCGAGCCGTATGCTTCTATAGATCATGGCATTGAATGTCGATCCAGAACGGGCCTGGTGTACTGAAGACTGAAGCTGAAACTTAAGTTTGCCTCTTGGGAGCCTGAATTGTTCCCATGGTTCCACTTCTGATCCAGTATCATACATGAGTCAGATTGTGTGCACAGGCGGAAAAGCGTTTGCATATCCAGTATGATACACAAAATCTCAGGGGCTTCGACAATGCGCTCTGGCAATATATGCAGCGCACGGTACAAAGCAGCTGGACTGTGCGGTCATTGCTGAACCTAACTACGTTTGTGCCCCTCATCAACTGGATTGCCAGCCGTACATGCATTCCGCACACATGCAGTCCGGGCATTCAAGTGCATGTGGCACGCTCTGATTGATGCGGATGTATAACAGATTCGCCGCGGATCGGTATCTTATACAGAGCTTGATGAGATTTGCAGGCAGACATTGTGACTACATCACAGAGTATGCTTACAAAGGTGTATGACTGGGATCATATGTGCACGAGCCTGCATGCATGGCCTCAGTAAGTATAAGGTCACGGACTGCAATATGTGCTCTTTAAGGGGTATGCATATATCCTAAAGTCAAATGGACGAGGGGTTTGAAAAACAGCGCGCAGAAGCAAATGCTAAGCATCCTAGTATCCTTTCCCTCATGCTAACATACACTGCAGACTCGACTGACATGACTACGCTGACTGCTGGCTCCTCATAGTCCTGTTTGGCGTGCTTTGCACCCTGGAACAAACTCAATCCCACTATATCAATTCGTCCTTGATCTCTGGCAGCATCATCCATACAATTTTCCAGAACATAAGAATAGCTTGACGATGAATCCAAAGAAGACAACGGGGGCGCCGTCTGTCTATCGAAGACGCAGGGGTCACCGATCAGCCGATGCCTCCGAATGCTGTCCAATGTCCTCCCCATCAACTGCACTTTCTTCTTTCCTACCCTCCTCTATCGTATCTCGCTCAGACTCCCGCTCCAAATGCGCCTTTGCCTCAAGCAGCGCCTCCTTCTTCATCTCAAACGCCTCTAGTTCCTCATAGTACGTGTCCCACACGCACGGCGCGCAGCCGCCCCCACAGCAATCCTCGGGGTACGGCTTCTCCGGCTCCTCTAGCTCTGCCAGCTGACGCTCTATCGCCGCCGCGTCCACCATCTTTGACCGCGTCGCATGACACAGAAACTTAAATGGAGCACCTTTGAAACCACCAAGCAAGCTGAGCCGGACCTTCACTGGAGGGCTCTGTGATATAGTTTCAAAACTGAGGCTAAAGTTCTTTTTCAATTCGGAGTGATCTGAGGAAGGGAAAACCCCTCTGAGCTTGTATCCCTGTGGTCGACAAGTCCAGAGGCCAAAAAGGTGCCACTGGCGGGACTTCAGTGTCAGGTCTGCAAAGGCCACGGCGCTGTAATTTCTGATTTGAGCCTGCGCGAACAACTGATGAACCGGGCGAACCGCAACCAAGTTGCAGAGTTGGCCGCCAAGTTTCTCAAGAGGATGTAATTGCAACAGGTGCGCCAAGACGGGAAAAAGGAACATCTAGTGAATGCTGCGATATAGGGTCTTGCACCCAGAAAGCTGATGGTGTCTGTTGGTCCGCCAACCTCGCAACTGCTCTGCTCAGAGCGGCGATAACAACGCTGTTGAACAGCGAGGGTGGTCCTTTCCCCTTCGTTGAACTTTGGCCTGGTTCCTAGGAGGTTGCTAGGTTCCCACAGGTGTCGTGTACCG